ACCACCACCAAAAAAAAAAAAAATTAAATTACCCATCTTCCTTTCTGACTATTTCATTTGTTATTGAACTGGGAGGAGCTTTTACTTTGAGTTATTTGGTGAATACTTTGCCCCTAAAACTAAACTATTTTGCTTTATAATTTGAGATGAAGTAGTCCTTACTAACTGAGTTATATCAACTTTGCAAGTTTAGTATTATAATATAGTCTTCCAGATTGAAGTGTTGAAGTGTTACATAGTGTAAGAGAGAAGAGAGAGAGAGGGAGAGAATGTATGATATTTGTTGGGGAAAGAATCTAAAATGTTTGAATGGTTGTTTGTAACTTAAACATTCTTTTCACAAAATTAAAATGTAAAGGCATGGCCTTATTAAATGGATTATGGAGGGTTTTACCCCCATGTTAGGGTTTCAACTACTTCGCTACAGAAATCTCTCCTGTCTTGGCTAATAACCTTTAACAATATGCAAAACTTGTGTTTAGATTATAAAAAGATATTTACATAATCCATAGAGGTGTAAGTCTAATATGTGAATATGAGAAGAAAGGTACTATTGTTATAGGATAATATGGCCTTTGAGCATGGCAATGTCAGTTTAAAAAGTTGGAAACTAATGCAGATAAGCTTAGTAGAATAAGTGGAAGCTGGAGGTGGGAATTAACTTATTTAGTAGGATCTTTTCGAGTCAAAAGTGACTGTTGACTTCTTTCTTTCTTCTTAGCCACTCAGTTAAACAAAACAGTATCCATTGCATTTATTTCATGGTCAATATTTCATTTTGTTATATCAGGTCATGTTGCATGGCTGATTATCTGTTTGCTTCACTGTTTTTATTAAATATATAATATTTATAATCTTCATATTATTTGTATGACTCTTTTCTTAAACTTTATATAATCTTGATTATATGAGATGTTTTGCAGAGAATATGAAACTATATCATCATGCCATCTATATTTCTGTTGCTGTGCTGTTCAACTCTACAGTGATGCCACCTATATTTCTTTTGCTAGGCAGGGACGCCATCTGGTGATTCGTGGTGGTACAACAATTATCTGTGCTCTGTTGATATATCTACCTCTCAGGTGTGAACCACTTTCGTATGATAGCTTGCTTGTCTTGGTTGCCTGGCTGCAGGGCCATCTATAATACTAAACTGCATGTCTAGAAATCCTGTATACTGACTCTTAGAGAGGAGTTAATTATACCCCCTCCCTCTCCAATTTTTTTTTTTTTTTATCTTCATAAATGGAACTGATTAGAGTTAAAAGTGTCGTTTTGATTATGTCTATTTTCAAGCACCTACTGTCATATAGAACTATAGGTAATAGTGTTGTAATGGGGTGAAATAAATGTCATAAATTACAATTGTTTTTTAATTTATGCTGTCTTATGGCTACAAATGAAATATTAAATTACTCCTTGAGGCATTATATCATACAATGGCTATAGCTTGAAGTAATGCAAACAGAATATTTCAATCCCATGCTTATTGGTATACCCTTAACAATCTTAATGAAATTAACTGTCCCTTGCGATAGATGCATGTTTGGTAGGCAGAAGGTGGGATTTATTACCATAGAAACACATGGGTGTGACATATGCTTGTGATGGGATATATTACTATAGCAACACATGGGTTTGACAAATGCTTGTGATGGGATATATTACCATAGCAACACATGGCTGTGGCAAATGCTTAAGATGAGGTACATTGTCATAACATGGCACAGGTTTGACTGTTGCTTTAGTCTCTGTAAAACTAACAATAGGAAATATAATTTTTATAGTTTTATTGTGTATATTTTTTTCCCAATTTTTAGTTTTGATGTGGTGAAGTGTTCTCAAAAACATCTCAGGGAGATGTGGTGTTGTGTTCTCAAAAATGTCATGCCTTTAGAATTCATTTGAGAGATTTTCCAGTCTTTCTTTTATCCTCTCTGTGTAGATATTTATGACCAAAAATCTTGGCAAAGGGCTTCTGACACAAAACAACGTAGGTTGTAATTTGGTCTTTATTTGCTAATAATTATAGCCAATCTAATTGTGTTTTAAAATTTAATAAAAATTGCCATCACCTGCAGCAGTTCATGTTTTATGCTAAAACTACTCAGTTCTAGTTGACTACCGCATGTTAAATTTTTAGAGAAGTCTAAAAAAATTAAAATCAGCTTTTGAAGCACCCTTCTTTTGTGAAACTTACATGGGTTATTAAAATGAAGATGAGCATAGTGGAGATGCGCCAACTAACAAAATGAGCTGATCATGAAATAAGTCTTGGGTGTTACACACTGAAAGACCATAGCAACTAACCAGTGACTATAGCTACTAATAAAATACTGAGAGCTTAGAAGTGGTTTATGTGTGGCTGTCAACCATAATACTAACAAATTACATGATATTCATACGTGTATGTGCATGCATATGATGACTGCATGGGGCTTAGTGTATAGCACATATGCAGGTTACATAGCTTGGATATGTAGACAGTATTTAGAGCTTAGCTTTTTGATGTTTGTTTTAATTTGATGATTTGTTTTTGCTAATGTTTCACATATAGGTTTGCATGACAAAATTGTGATATGACTACTCTTTGGTTTCTTATTGATAGCAGTGAGTTTTGGTTTTAACTGTACATGCTGGTGTTTTCCATTTGTTTGTAAAAAACAATTTGAGTATTAATGAAACTAAAATGAAAACGAGAAAGTAAATGATTGTTTAAGTATGCATTACATGTACATTGAAAGAATTGCAAATTCAAATTAGGAAAATACCAGCTGTTGATGATTTGAAATGTTGGTGTTGTTAATGATGATGATGTTTTTGCTGATGCTGTTATTGATGTTGTGATTGCTTTTGATGTTGTTACCTTGCTGTAATCTTGCATCTCTCTCCTCTAGGGCGGCCCAATCAACCCTGACAACCAACGGGAAAACCGCACCCCAACAAGTACACCAATTCTTTCTAGGAAAAACAAAAATAAGTCTAATTTCCTCATCGTAAGTTTTTTATTTTGTTTCACATTTTTTCTTCCTCTACCTATGCTTAGTACCTCCTAGATAGTTTATTTCTTTTTATTTGATTTGACACTTTACACTGCTTATCTTTGTGATTTATTACTATTGGGATGCTAAACTTATAGGTTTAAATAACATATTTTTAGTCTAAGGCTATCACTGTTTATCTGCCTAAACATTAATTTGACACCAGGTTTTGGAACTAAATCTTTACCTTACAACATATAGATCAGATATTAATCTGAATTAACAGTGAAAATGAAAAAGACAATCAAATAGGAAAAAAAAGGTCCATTTATTTTGTTGAGAGTAGCCAGAAAAAAACTTAACTATTGGCAGATTTTCGACTGGGACCCAAAAATATTGGCCGAGGCGTTTCCCATGTACCCCACACCATATTTTCAGACTTTTCCACTGAATGGGTGTCTTATCCCTGTTAACAAGCATTGAAACATTGTGCACCCCGGAACACCCTGTACATCACTGGGTTTTATACTTATTTTAGTCTTAGTGATAGTAACAAGGAGGGGGGGGGGGTGGTAACACCCTGTGTATACCCACAAGTATGGCTGCAAAGAAATGCAGAGCAGCTTGCTTCCCATATCTATACTTTTTTTTTTTTTTTTTTTTTCGAAAGGAGTACTTCTTTTCATCCCTTTCTTATGTCACAAAGGAAATGAAAAAAAAAAAAATTACTACACTGCTCCAGATTGGTTTTCAAGTCATTCTGAGTCCTGTTATTTTGAACGTCACCATTTAATGAAGTTGTACTGAAAAAAGTCACCCCCCTCCTCTTCAATGCTGTTGTTGATATGAAAATTTCCACAGCAAAATAGATGTTTTAATGGTAAAGGTATTCACATTTATAGATATTGTAGTTTAGTTACTCTCTTTCTCTTTATTTATTCTTTATTTAGCACTAGAACTATATACCCGTTATTTATGTAGTATGTCTCCCAGTAGTTAGTATTTGGGATTTTTGTAGAATTTAGCACTTGTAGATTGCCAGTTGTTGAGGAAAATCATATTGCATTCCTTTCTCAGCACAAACACATTCAGTTTTTATTTTATGTGCAAAATGAATATCTTTATTATATTTAAGCAAGAGCTTTGATTGTGTAGGCCTAGTTATTTGCAGTGAGGTGAGATAGGATATAGATAGTAGCAGGGGCTGCTTTTAGTGCAACATTTCATTTTGAGGCCTTTATTTATTTATTTATTTATTTATTTATTTATTTATTTATTTATTTATTCATTCAAAATTGACTTGTAATATTTGATTATTTTTGTGACAATAATTCAGCCATCACTGATTTATATCTCAATTAGCTGACCTATATATCAAGTGTGGCTTTTGTGGGTTTACTCTGTACTTGGTGCTTCAGAACATTCCTGTATTGCCAGCCGGGTTTGCACACAGCTTAAATTGTTCACCAAGTATTTGCAGTGTGAGAAAGAGTACAGTATTTCTGCATTTTCTGTGAGACCATGTTTTTTTTTTTTTTTTTCTTTATTTTTTTTTTTTCAACACTTTTTCTGTGTTCACTGGATGTTTAGGCAGGCTTTTTGTCATTTGCCAAATCTTCCAAATGGCAATTTGATACAGTACAGTTCATTCAAGAGGGAGGGGATCCTAAGTAAATATTTTGAGTTTTGAATACATTTTGACAGCAGAAAAAAATTGATAGGGGACAAAAAAAGTATTTGATCAGCTGCGGTCTACTTCCAGTTAAGATAAACATGGCAAGGCAAAAATAAAAAAATCTGACGTAAATGGGTGAAAAAAAATGAACAGTATTGAACAGCAATATGCTGGATCAATATTCAAATTAATTAATTACTGCATTGACTTAAAATTTGCAGTCTGATGCTTTTGCATTTCNAAGTTTTAAAATCTAAAGGGAATATAATCACTGACTTTTGTTTTATAATACTTTCAATTTTTTTCATACACAAAAAGGCTGTTTTACAAATAAAATCTGTTTAAAATAACATAAATTTACCCATCGCTTTTTGTTTGTTTGAAATTTTACAAAGATCCTTCTACAAAGATGGAACTATTTATTTATAAACAAAATAACACACACACCATTATGGTTTAATCATTTTTGTTGCTTGTAATGTGGCAGTGGTAAGAGATTTAAGTTAACATTTCTTTATTGTATATTAAGGGGCATATACTTTGTTCTATCAGCTTTTCAAAAGCTGGGGTGACATACCAACAAACCTCATTTTCAGGGAAATCGGGTATTTGGCTGTATTCTTGAAATTAGATTTTTAAAACCTTACAATTTTCCATGCATGTTTGCATGTTTGAAGTAATACCAATTTACAGTCGTGTATATCTTCTCTGATAATAAATTTAGGATTGTGTTCTAACAGTTGTGGCTTGTCATGGTAGAGCATCTATTGTAGGTGCAGCATGTTCAAAAATTTTCATCTGTGAGATCTAACAAGTTCCCATAGATCATGATTTTTTATTTCAGAGTTTGCAGTTGTGGTGTTTTATTTCACACTGACTGACATTGCGTGTTATATTAATCACTTGCTTGCAGGACATACGGCTTGATTCCTCTCCACACAAGCTATTTCGGACGCCGAGTGCCACACCACAGGCAACACGTAAAAACAAGAAAGCTTTTAATATTCAGAAATCAAATTCTTTCAATGTAAGTTGTGGGAGGTAGTACATTTTTTTCTCACCAGGTGCTAGTAGCAGAGTGGACATAACCAATACCTATCACCCCCTGATTTACAAAGTGGACTATTCCTTATATAGCTTTTAATACAGCGGGAAGGTCCATTTTGAGTTCTGAGTGGGATAATCCGATTTATATGCAAAAAGACCATAAGACCTGGATCTTTTGGGACATGTTTAATTGAAATTTTCATCATTTGATTTTTCGTCACTTTTTTTTTTTTTTTTTTAGTATCTAAATTTTCACGTTCAAGGATATCTTTTGTTTATTTAAATCAGAACAGAAATTGAACTACAAGTGTTCATAATTTGGAAATATATCTTTTGATAGAAATTGTGAAATATTCAAGAATGTGAACAAAAACAGGAACCCATATCTCCTTTGGTCTTTCTGCAGATGTGGTGATTCACAAGATACATATACACAGGTTATATAACTAGGAATGAGCAATGGTTTGATTCTACTGTAGCTATCTACTACCAATATAGCTTAGGACTACTTCATTTCTTAGTGGGATGGTGGATTGTTTGGTGTTTAAACCTCCCCCCCCCCCCCCCCCAAACAAAAAAATAAAATAAAATAAAATAAATTACCCATCTTCCTTTCTGACTATTTCATTTGTTATTGAACTGGGAGGAGCTTTTACTTTGAGTTATTTGGTGAATACTTTGCCCCTAAAACTAAACTATTTTGCTTTATAATTTGAGATGAAGTAGTCCTTACTAACTGAGTTATATCAACTTTGCAAGTTTAGTATTATAATATAGTCTTCCAGATTGAAGTGTTGAAGTGTTACATAGTGTTAGAGAGAAGAGAGAGAGAGGGAGAGAATGTATGATATTTGTTGGGGAAAGAATCTAAAATGCTTGAATGGTTGTTTGTAACTTAAACATTCCTTTCACAAAATTAAAATGTAAAGGCATGGCCTTATTAAAGGGATTATGGAGGGTTTTACCCCCATGTTAGGGTTTCAACTACTTCGCTACAGAAATCTCTCCTGTCTTGGCTAATAACCTTTAACAATATGCAAAACTTGTGTTTAGATTATAAAAAGATATTTACATAATCCATAGAGGAGTAAGTCTAATATGTGAATATGAGAAGAAAGGTACTATTGTTATAGGATAATATGGCCTTTGGGCATGGCGATGTCAGTTTAAAAAGTTGGAAACTAATGCAAATAAGCTTAGTTGAATAAGTGGAAGCTGGAGGTGGGAATTAACTTATTTAGTAGGATCTTTTCGAGACAAAAGTGACTGTTGACTTCTTTCTTTCTTCTTAGCCACTCAGTTAAACAAAACAGTATCCATTGCATTTATTTCATGGTCAATATTTCATTTTGTTATATCAGGTCATGTTGCATGGCTGATTATCTGTTTGCTTCACTGTTTTTATTAAATATATAATATTTATAATCTTCATATTATTTGTATGACTCTTTTCTTAAACTTTATATAATCTTGATTATATGAGATGTTTTGCAGAGAATATGAAACTATATCATCCTGCCATCTATATTTCTGTTGCTGTGCTGTTCAACTCTACAGTGATGCCACCTATATTTCTTTTGCTAGGCAGGGACGCCATCTGGTGATTCGTGGTGGTACAACAATTATCTGTGCTCTGTTGATATATCTACCTCTCAGGTGTGAACCACTTTTGTATGATAGCTTGCTTGTCTTGGTTGCCTGGCTGCAGGGCCATCTATAATACTAAACTGCATGTCTAGAAATCCTGTATGCTGACTCTTAGAGAGGAGTTAATTATACCCCCTCCCTCTCCAATTTTTTTTTTTCTTTTTTTTTTTTAATCTTCTTAAATGGAACTGATTAGAGTTAAAAGTGTCGTTTTGATTACGTCTATTTTCAAACACCTACTGTCATATAGAACTATAGGTAAAAGTGTTGTAATGGGGTGAAATAAATGTCATAAATTACAATTGTTTTTTAATTTATGCTGTCTTATGGCTACAAATGAAATATTAAATTACTCCTTGAGGCATTATATCATACAATGGCTATAGCTTGAAGTAATGCAAACAGAATATTTCAATCCCATGCTTATTGGTATACCCTTAACAATCTTGATAAAATTAACTGTCCCTTGCGATAGATGCATGTTTGGTAGGCAGAAGGTGGGATTTATTACCATAGAAACACATGGGTGTAACATATGCTTGTGATGGGATATATTACTATAGCAACACATGGGTTTGACAAATGCTTGTGATGGGATATATGCTGTGGCAAATGCTTAAGATGAGGTACATTGTCATAACATGGCACAGGTTTGACTGTTGCTTTAGTCTCTGTAAAACTAACAATAGGAAATATAATTTTTATAGTTTTATTGTGTATATTTTTTCCAATTTTTAGTTTTGATGCAGTGTAGTGTTCTCAAAAACATCTCAGGGAGATGTGGTGTTGTGTTCTCTAAAATGTCATGCCTTTAGAATTCATTTGAGAGATTTTCCAGTCTTTCTTTTATCCTCTCTGTGTAGATATTTATGACCAAAAATCTTAGCAAAGGGCTTCTGACACAAAACAGCGTAGGTTGAAATTTGGTCTTTATTTGCTAATAATTATAGCCAACCTAATTGTGTTTTAAAATTTAATAAAAATTGCCATCACCTGCAGCAGTTCATGTTTTATGCTAAAACTACTCAGTTCTAGTTGACTACTGCATGTTAAATTTAAGAGAAGTCTAAAAAAATTAAAATCAGCTTTTGAAGCACCCTTCTTTTGTGAAACTTACATCAATTATTAAAATGAAGATGAGCATAGTGGAGATGCGCCAACTAACAAAATGAGCTGATCATGAAATAAGTCTTGGGTATTACACACTGATAGACCATAGCAACTAACCAGTGACTATAGCTACTAATAAAATACTGAGAGCTTAGAAGTGGTTTATATGTGGCTGTCAACCATAATACTAACAAATTACATGATATTCATACGTGTATGTGCATGCATATGATGACTGCATGGGGCTTAGTGTATAGCACATATGCAGGTTACATAGCTTGGATATGTAGACAGTATTTAGAGCTTAGCTTTTTGATGTTTGTTTTAATTTGATAATTTGTTTTTGCTAATGTTTCACATATAGGTTTGCATGACAAAATTGTGATATGACTACTCTTTGGTTTCTTATTGATAGCAGTGAGTTTTGGTTTTAACTGTATATGCTGGTGTTTTCCATTTGTTTGTAAAAAAACAATTTGAGTATTAATGAAATTAAAATGAAAACGAGAAAGTAAATGATTGTTTAAGTCTGCATTACATGTACATTGATATGAATTGCAAATTCAAATTTGGAAAATACCAGCTGTTGATGATTTGAAATGTTGGTGTTGTTAATGATGATGATGTTTTTGCTGATGCTGTTATTGATGTTGTGATTGCTTTTGATGTTGTTACCTTGCTGTAATCTTGCATCTCTCTCCTCTAGGGCGGCCCAATCAACCCTGACAACCAACGGGAAAACCGCACCCCAACAAGTACACCAATTCTTTCTAGGAAAAACAAAAATAAGTCTAATTTCCTCATCGTAAGTTTTTTATTTTGTTTCACATTTTTTCTTCCTCTACCTATGCTTAGTACCTCCTAGATAGTTTATTTCTTTTTATTTGATTTGACACTTTACACTGCTTATCTTTGTGATTTATTACTATTGGGATGCTAAACTTAAAGGTTTAAATAACATATTTTTGGTATAAGGCTATCACTGTGTTTATCTGCCTCAACATTAAATTGACACCAGGTTTTGGAACTAAATCTTTACCTAACACCATATAGATCAGATATTAATCTGAATTAACAGTGAAAATGAAAAAGACAATCAAATAGGGAAAAAAAGGGCCATTTATTTTGTTGGAGTAGCCAGAAAAAAATCACACTTAACTATTGGCAGATTTTCGACTGGGACCCAAAAATATTGGCCTAGGCGTTTCCCGTGTACCCCACACCATATTTTCAGACTTTTTCACTGAATGGGTGTCTTATCCCTGTTAACAAGCATTGAAACATTGTGCACTCCAGAACACCCTGTACATCACTGGGTTTTATACTTATTTTAGTCTTAGTGATAGTAACAGGGAGGGGGGGGGGGGTAACACCCTGTGGACCCCAGGGTTGTATGTGCAGAAGTATGACTGCAAAGAACTGCGGAGCAGCTTGCTTCCTAAATCTATACATTTTTTTTTTTTCGAAAGGAGTACTTCTTTTCATCCCTTTCTTATGTCACAAAGGAAATGAAAAAAAAATTTACTACACTGCTCCAGATTGGTTTTCAAGTCATTCTGAGTCCTGTTATTTTGAACGTCACCATTTAATGAAGTTGTACTGAAAAAAGTCACCCCTCTCCTCTTCAATGCAGTTGTTGATATGAAAATTTTCACAGCAAAATAGATGTTTTAATGGTAAAGGTATTCACATTTATAGATATTGTAGTTTAGTTACTCTCTTTCTCTTTATTCATTCTTTATTTAGCACTAGAACTATATACCCGTTATTTATGTAGTATGTCTCCCAGTAGTTAGTATTTGGGATTTTTGTAGTACTTAGCACTTGTAGATTGCCAGTTGTTGAGGAAAATCATATTGCATTCCTTTCTCAGCACAAACACATTCAGTTTTTATTTTATGTGCAAAATGAATATCTTTTTTATATTTAAGCAAGAGCTTTGATTGTGTAGGCCTAGTTATTTGCAGTGAGGTGAGATAGGATATAGATAGTAGCAGGGGCTGCTTATAGTGCAACATTTCATTTTGAGGCCTTTATTTATTTATTTATTTATTTATTCATTCAAAATTGACTTGTAATATTTGATTATTTTTGTGACAATAATTCAGCCATGACAGATTTATATCTCAATTAGCTGACCTATATATCAAGTGTGGCTTTTGTGGGTTTACTCTGCACTTGGTGCTTCAGAACATTCCTGTATTGCCAGCCGGGTTTGCACACAGCTTAAAATGTTCACCAAGTATTTGCAGTGTGAGAAAGAGTACAGTATTTCTGCATTTTCTGTGAGACCATGTTTTTTTTTTTTTCCAACACTTTTTCTGTGTTCACTGGATGTTTAGGCAGGCTTTTTGTCATATGCCAAATCTTCCAAATGGCAATTTGATACAGTACAGTTCATTCAAGATGGAGGGGATCCCAAGTAAATATTTTGAGTTTTGAATACATTTTGACAGCAGAAAAAATTGATAAGGGACTAAAAAGTATTTGATCAGCTGTGGTCTATTTCCAGTTAAGATAAACATGGCAAGGTAGAAATAAAAAATCTGACGTAAATGGGTGAAAAAAATTTACAGTATTGAACAGCAATATGCTGGATCAATATTCAAATTAATTAATTACTGCATTGACTTAAAATTTGCAGTCTGATGCTTTTGCATTGCTGCCGTAGTGTCTAAAAAACTGCCGGCACTGTTATTCAGATGAACTGCGCTGTAACAACATCCTTACTCATCACATGCTTGCCTTTTCTATTTTTTGATGATTTGTAGGAAAAAGTGGATAATTTTTTCAAGGATTTGCAAATTCCACCAAATAGCCCCCTTACACCCCTTCTTGGCAGAATGACCCGCGTCCGCTCCAGCTTGGACTTAGTAAGTGACCAGTACTGAAAAAGTAGCTTCTCTTCTTATAGATAATAGGCTGACAAAATTTTTTCTTTGAGTCTCAATCATTTTAATTTGTTGTTAAAATTGTACTCTTGTAGCATATATAAGCTGACATTTATAAATCTTTATTTGCCTTTTCCTTGTGTGAAACTTCGCTGCTTGTTCCATTCATGATTTGGTTTCGCCTTAGGATTAAAAAAAGCTGAGCTACAGTAGCTTTAGCATTTCAACTTAAATTAATAACTTCTATTTCCTATATTGATAATAAGAAAATAGATATCACATCCACAGCTTGACTAATAGTTGCTTTAGCTCACTTCACATTTCCTCATGATGTTTTACAAAATATCTTTTCTCCTGTCATATCAAAGGCACTAAAGCGTCCCGATGTCCTGCTGCCATTACTTCCCTTTCACTATACAAAGCTGTATCTGCAGTGCTATAAAAATAGATAGTTATTTCTGTGTGCACTTATCATTACTAAACCATCTTTTGCAGCTCTTGCAACACATCGGGGTTAGAATACTGAAAATTATTTCAAACCTTCAGCCGCTGTAGTTTGTTTATTTGTTAGTTTGACAATGGCATCAAATAGAACTGCTCTTGAAACTATCCAGTTTGTTGAGAAGCTCTTCGCAGTCATTTTCACGTCAAACTAGATGCATACTAGTAGTATCAGCATGGAAAAGTGCAGGCTTAGAGCTTTGTTTTATTTGTGGCCTGGTGCTACAGCTAGGTTTTTATGCTTACATAAGAATACTACTTAGATATTTCCATTCATATGAAGTTCAACAATATAAATTGCATGTGAATTCACAAAAAAAAAAGGTGTAATAAAATGTAAATTTAAAATTTTTAATATTAAAGCACCAAAAGAAGCATGCATTAAATTACTCCAAGTATATACTAGTATCCTGCTGCTAGGTTAATAATTCACATTGGAAGTAGAAAGATTTGGACCCATATACCTCATGAACATTAGGCTAGATGTGGTCTATGTATTCAAATTTTATGATGCAGTGATGTGTATTCTATATATTGATAATACTCTTTGCAAATTGTGTTTTATTTATTTATTTATTTATTTATTTATTTATTTATTTGTTTCATCATGTATTTATTTGTACATTTGAGGTTCATTACACAATACAGGATGTGGACCATATACTCACTTTTTCCTCCTGCTAGCAGAAAGCTGTGGTAGTAGATTTGTGCCTTGTTTTCAATAGTCAGGGGTTCTGCCTTAGAGAGCATTAATATCTGCAATGCTATATGCTTGTTATTAGATATTTGAGAATGAATGTGCATATGCAGACATGTTTGAATGTCTTAAACCATTGGCATTACTACTTGAAGTGATTCAGTACTATTTGCTTGTTTTTAGGTGTTTGAAAATGAACATGCATGTGTGTGTGTGTGCACGCGTGCATGTTTTTAATCATTGAATCCATAGAACAGAGATGCCAGAACTTCTCCACAAGGGTGAACTGCTATTATAGCATGGCTGGCCTACTTCAGCTCCAGATATATGCTTGGATTGTGACTTCTCTTATAGTGATATTAATGTCTGAATTCATTTACAGCTTGATCAGTGTCACTGTAGCCTATACTTTTGCTACCCTGTATTCATTTTCAGCAGCAGAGGGCTAGTTGATCTAGCAGCACATGCTTTACATTAGCAAGACATTTAACAAACTGACTGGGTGTCTAACTCACTATGTCTTTTTGCACTGGACTTTGACTATTTTACTAAAACATGAGGTATCAAGGTTGCTTTATAACCAAGTAACTGTGGGTGCAGGAGCACACGCATATGTGCACACGCGCACATACACACACATGCATGCACACGCACAAAGGGGAGTGTTGTATTCTACTCTTTAACAAACCGTGTATATAACCTGTAATATTCCCATGTCCTTGTATTGTGGTATGTAAAACTCACAATATCAATTGCTGCATTTTTACAGCATTTTTGGCCTAAGTTTGTCACCTGCTGTGTAAGTGGTATTCCTGCATTTTATATACCCCGTGAATCTGTCTCCAAACATAATCTTACACATTCTGTTATATGCATAGATACCAATGGATAACATGGGTATAAATTACTTGCTGTGGGAGGTTCTTTTGAAAATTGTCTCTGGGGTTTCAACTGAGATCTCTCCATAATTCACTTGTTTGAATATCAGGGGAAAAAACGTTTGAAATTCTGTGGTTGTGCATTTGGTTATTTTGCCACTTTTAACACAACTTGAATTCTATGTAATTGTAATGCAGCTCGGTATGTTTTTCCCCCAAAGCTGTTGAAAATTTCTCTGCTCGACCCTTCTTTGCCTTACACCCACCAAATTGTCCTTGTTTAAACTTGGTGTTTGCTTATATTTCCCCCAAGTTGTACCATGCCAGTCGCCTAGTTTTACTAAGCACCTCTGATGGAATAACAAGCTATAAAATCCCTGCAGATGCAACTAACACACTGTGAATACTAACTGCTTAGAACTAAGTGTAGAGGTCGCTAGTGGGTTAACCATGACACTCCTAATTCCAGGACAAACCTGATGGTAAAGATTTACCCACACCAACTAGCACACCCACTCAAACTAGAAAAAGTAGGAGGCGGTCTAATTTATTTACGGTAAGGTGGGCGCTTTTTCCATTTTCTGCTTTCAAATAAGTTTGCCACTTTTATGTTGGTGATTCTGCTTTGTAGTAATATGTGATAAACCAATTTCTTTTGAGTAAAAAAGAAAGTCGATTGATGAAATTTTTGCATGGATGTGCACATTGGGTGGGTCTATTTTTATCATCACTTTTGAACCAATTAATTGAAACAAAGTGATAATTACACTGCACTAGTCACAAAGCAAAAAAACAAAAAACAAAACAAAAAAAGTTTAAAATATGGATTGAGCACAACTGATTATTTTGTCACTTCATATCATAGACTGCACTTTTGAAACCCTTTCATGTTCGTTTAATCATAAAAATTATGTCTTAATGTTCAGTAAATCATAAAAAAAAACTTTGGGCAAAATATGTCCCTGTTAATTCTATGAAGATTTAATAAATTGTTTTTTTTTTTTTTTTTTTTTTTTTTTTTTTTTTTTTTTTTTTACCTCTCCCTCTGTAGAGCAAAGTTGCCTTATTTCTGATTAATTGGTTTAATTGTTTGTTTTGTGAACAACGGGGATTTGTTTGCTTAAAAATAAGTCTTTTTCACCAGAAGTATATGTGGTGTTCTGCTTATCAATTGTCATGATCTTAAACAACCCCTCCCCTCCTTTTAATGACAAGCTTTACTTCTTTGTCCAAAATTACGTCTGTAATGTGATTTCACAAAGCATCTCTCCAGTTTTAAAAATAAAACTGTCAAAGTTTGAGCAGAAAATGGAAAAATAGTATCTGTGGATATTGTTCCTGATGAAATGTTTTGAGCTGAGGATTTTTTTCTTCTTCTCTGATTTGCTGGGTAACACTAAGGAGTTCTTACACATTAACAAAGTTTTCTCTTAGGATAATTTAACCATTTGACAGAGGTATAACAACACGTAATAACTAAAATACTTCCGAAATTTTAAACATTTTTTCCAGAAATGCAGAGGCGGTAGATAACCAAATGCATATACAATATGCCAAGATATTGTGTTGTATATGACCTTCACAACTTGTGCAATTGTGAAATTTAGTAGCTAGAACCCCTGATTTCAGATCTGTCCTTTGCATTGGCCGTGCTATGCACAGTTAATACAAATACTTTCATATAGTATGTAGTCAGCACAGTTAGAGAGAGTTGTGGTCTCATGTTTCAGCCAAGCAAGAAGGATGAAGAGAGGCTGGGAAGTGGAAGAGTTATACCCATTAGACAGGTGCGTTATACTTTTAAGACCAGTATGTTATATCTATATGGCAAGAAAGTGATACTTAGGAACTAGGAAGCCACTGATTTTTAAGACAAATATTTGTGACTCATTTACTTATTGAATACAAAAGGTTTAAGAATAGTTGAACAGAGTGTAACACTGAGCACAATAAATATGCAACAAATAACTCATTATTAATTTTCTAAAACAGCACTTTCATTCCCACTGCTTTCATTGTTCATGATACTGTTTAATATGTAATTTTATTTTATTCTCCAGGGCTATCTGTACAAGAAAAGTAGCAAAGGTTTAAACAGAGAATGGAAGAAAAAATATGTGACACTCAATGACAATGGAATGCTTACCTACCATCCCAGCTTACATGTAAGTATCCACGAACCTATGATGAAATTAACTGATATATAATTGTTATATGGATCAGAACAGAAATGAAGGAAATGATCCAAGTGAATCTTTACCTTTCTTTGCAAAATTTTATTTTATGAACATTTTTTGTCAGACATTTGCACTCTGTTAGTTTCTGACCTGTTATCTTTTCAAAAAAGGGCCCCTCATGTTATCTCAAATGAGAAATTTGAAGCAACAACAAAACTTTTCGTTATCTTCATATAACACACGACTTTCTCTCTGTCTCTCTCTGCAGGACTATATGGATGAAGTCCATGGTAAAGAGATAAATTTAATGAAAACAACGGTGAAGATTCCTGGACAGAAACCCCGAGGTTCCCGGGGTCCTACTCAGCCTGGGTCCAACGGGGTGACCACAGAGATGAATAACCTATCACTAGGGGGTGAGTTAGTGATGGATTTATAGGTGTGTGTGTGTGTGTGTGTGTGTGTGTGTGTGTGTGTGTGTGTGTGTGTGTGTGTGTGTGTGTGTGTGTGTGTGTGTGTGTGTGTGTGTGTGTGTGTGTGTGTGATACAAAAACAAATTAAATCTGATGTGAATAGTTATAAATGTAAATTCAGTACTAATACATTGTTTTAGGGTTGAGAAAAGAAATGTCAAATCCACAGTGTAGGCCATTTTTAAATATAAAAACAAAACCTCTTACCAGACCACCTTAAGATCTACAAAGTTTCTTTTTTTTCCATTTGAAAAAAAAAATTAAATCATTGGTCCATTTGGAAAAAAATATGTTTCAAAATTAGGGCCAATCCCACTCATCAAAACCAACTTGAAAATTTTCCTTGGCCTTAAAACATAATTTTCTATATTTTGTATAGGAGGAAAACCTGGCAATAAAGGCAAAGAAAATGTGATGCAGGCAGGGGGCTCGGATCAGAAGGAAGGCGGTGGTCCTCGTCTTGGTTCTGTCTCCAGTAATTGTGATGACGCCATTGTTATATCCAACTCCTCCATTACGCCAGGTGAGTGGCGTGCTCGCTGCATGCATGATGTCATTTGACATGCACTTGTATGTGTGTGCATGCTTTGGTGTTGTCAGTATGAGCTTTCAAGCTTTTGGATTTTCGTCAGATTAGAGTGTCAGTTAAATGATCCACATAGAGCTAGGGGTAACCATGTATCTTGAAAATTCATCTTAAAAGTATTGGCACACTTCTGATGCATGTTACATGTATAAAAGAAAATTTAGCAATACTGACCACAAGTCAAGTGGTATTCCGTTTTTTGGGGGGGTTCTAAAAGATTTGAAATTTGTCGGATCTAAAATAAAACAGCTTGTTGTAGATTTGATAAGTTCAGTGGGAATAAAATAGTGTAGTAAATGAGTTCAAGTTCACACTCAACAGATGTTTCATATTTTCCCTTCTTTTGGGAGAAGATGCAACTTAAGGAAGTCTGAAAAAGATGCATCTTTATATTTCATAAATGGTTGTGCATTTTAAGCATGTTTGTTTTGTTATTAAATTCTGCATCTTTGCCTTTGAAGCAAAATATGTAAATATGACTAAAAGTCGATTTTCATCTTAATATCTTCTTATGGTCATGTTTTACTTTACATATATATTCCCAGAAAATGATTTTGCAATTAAAACACATATAAATTATCAGGTTTATTTTTTCTGGTATGTGGTTTGTGTAAGCTTAGTCTTCAGCCCTTTTTGCTTTACAATATACCCAAATATATAACAGATATCTGACATATATGTACCAATGAAGAATATCAGCCAGTGTTATTGATTACATGCATTTGTTGCCACTGGCTTTGTCTAGTGTTAAAAAAAAGAAAATGTGAATTTGCCTTAAGTATCATAAGATAATTAAGCTGGTGTTGCTTGCTGTGCTTGAATTTGCATAAAGCTTTATAAGTTTGCGTTTGGCAGTGATTTTGAGATGGGAGGGGGGAAGGCATAAAGAAAAGGATGGCAAATGCACATACACCAAGTTTAACAAACTGTTTGCTTTCTTTGTTTTCCATAGATGTGTTTTCTGATGTTGGTATGTACAGCATGTCCAGTAATATCAAAGCATGTGTTATATTAACATAGTATTCCCTTATGTTCAACCTGCATTCACAACATAGTATGGCATCAGCCCAGGGCTGCCGTCACACAACTGTTAATGGCACCTGTTAATTTGCATTGTTTAAGCATGGGTTTTCTTATTTATAACAATATTTAAGTAAGCAGTGTTCCCATTTAAGCATGTTGTAACTGCAGTTACTATGTTTAAGCATGCTCTTTCTTCATACTTACTGATCAGTATTTTGAAATATGTTTTAACTAAGCATGTACGCTACAAATATCGAACAGTGATCGAGCATGTGCTTTGTCACAATTTGTTGCAAAGTTAGTTGCTTACAGTATTCAGTGGTTGTGGATAGGCAGTGCATTGTAACTCGTGTTCCCTGGTGGTAAATGCTGGTTGCCATGGCAATGTGTTAGGGTGCTAGTTAATGTAGCCTGCGGGGGCTTGATCCATTATGTAGACAAATTAGAAATAAAGATGTAAAAGGTAAAAAAAAAAAATGCTATTTAGATGATAGAGGTAGAGTATCCTGCAGTCTTTTGTTGCATGTGATATAATTAATAAATAAATAAGTGTATGTTTTGCGGAACTTAATAGCTAACAATAGGAATACATTATAGACATGTCCTTACTTATGTATTAAATTGAGCAGTTTATAATATCATTGTTGACTAATTTTAGAAATAAATGATTAAAGGTCGTAGCATAGATAAGGTAGTTGCAAAAGCAAAGTAACTTTTGTAATAAGAAAATAGATGTATATAATATTAATCCCCAAAAGTGTAGTATTATAACAGTGTAGGTGGTATAATATAACATGATAAGGTTGAATGACTAGTCTTACATTTTATTTTGTATTACTTGCAATTCCTATTCCATTTGGATCTAATATTGGTAAGCCTAGTTGTTGTGAATGCATCGGTTGAGATCTCCTGTCTCAACTAGCACATTGCACAGTTAGTTTTGCCAGATATTGAATCATATTGATATTTAACTGGAAATAAAAAGTGGTGGTTTTGTATTTGAATGAAAACCTGACCTTAACTGGACTAAGATAATCATTACTTCTAACCACAAAGAATAATCCAACAAGAAAAAATATTATTTGATAACAAAAATCTTTTATTCTGTGAATTAAGATATTCATGTCACTAATGAAACTTTAAGCATTTAAAAATTAAACTGAAGTTAAGTAATGAAAAAAAGACGAGATAATATCCTTCCGGTCAATTTCTATGTAAAAGACACACATGTAAGATTACATTCTTTACGCTTAGCTAACTAAATTATCTCATCACTGTCTTCCTATCGCAGGTGTCTCTAATGGCGTGGACACGGCTATAGCTCAGATGGGGTTGAGTGCTGCACAGATGGCCCGAGCTGAGACGCCAAACGTGAAGAAGAGGCATCGCAGAGCCAAGAGCAGCAGTAAAAACGTGGAGGCTAGTCAGGCAGGAGATGGTGAGTGTGTGTGTGTGTGCAGCTAGTACCAGTATTGATAGGTTTGACGTTAAAACTAAAGGGTATTTGTTAAAATAAATAGAATTTAGTAATACTTATTTAAGTCTGTGATCACTTTGTTTGGAAATGTATAAAAGTAATTGTGCTGTGATTTGACACACTGCACTTTGAAGGAGTTCTTTGACATCCTCTCTCTAGTTATTTTGGTAACATCTTTAAGTTTGTTTCTTATTTTTTGAGGCAGATAATGATTGGCTCATAAATGACTTTTACAGAACTGCCTACGATTATATTTGAATTGTTATGATTATAGAAATTGAAGAATATTAAATGGGCTCTAATCCAGTTCAGATACTTGATTTCTGTTTTTTTTAAACCATTTTTATTGTCCAATATTTCAGACTCAGATGGTTATGAATTTGTGATAGTTTCATTAGATAATAAACAGTGGCAGTTTGAGGCACCCACAACAGATGTAAGTTTAATGCCTGTTTGTGTGTGTGTTTATCTATACATGTGTACAAATGTGTGCTTATACTTTTGTTACTATGCCTAAGTATGTGTGAATGCAGATGTGAATGTGTATGCTGATTGGTAAATATATATGTATCTATATAGGTAAAAATTGCGGGTTTTATCTGTTCCCTTTTAACTGTGTGATTGCATCTGTTCTTGTTCATAGACTAAACATTTATCCAGTACTCCCAAAGTTTTATCTAATATTTCATAATGTTCCAGCAAAACCAAGATCTTTATGGGAGAGTACAAGTAATAATTTTCATTTTTGAATTAAAATTAACCAATGGGAATGTTCACTTCAACTGACACCATATTCCATGTTAATAGTCGATCTTCACCGATTTCAGGAGCGAGAAGGGTGGGTGTCGGCCATTGAGCAGCAGATTTTAACTTCTTTACAAGGCAATGAAAGTAATAAAGCTAGGGTAAGTGTGCCTATACAGACATCTTAACACACATGAAGGTAGCGTTATCCTGATAAATGTTGTTACTTATGGTCAATAGATAGTTTATCATAAATACAAGCATTAAAAGATAGAATATTCATTAGAAATTTTTTTCTATGGGTGAATAGAAATAATGAAGATGTTTTGAAATGTTGGTTTAAAAAAGCAATTTGGGTGTGATAAGTTTTGTACAGCATTAACAAGTAGACCAGTCCCACTTGCTAGAATAAATGCTGGTTATTATGCTTATTATTATGTTTATTCTTTTGTTTATTTGTAAACTCAGAATCGCAGCAGCACAACAGATCCTGAGGCAGTGAAAATGATTCGCGCTGTCAGAGGAAATCAGTTCTGTGCCGATTGCATGTCTCCAAGTAAGTTCTGGCATCATGTTTAAACACATATTTTGCCATTTTTTTTTCCATATTATCAATAATTAAGTCTTTATAGAATTTCACAGTCAGCGTATAAAAATTTGAGATAAGCATGTGTTGTGAGTAGTATACTATGTTATCAGCAAAGATAAAAAAAAAAAAAAAAAACTCAGCAAGATGATGAGCAGTGCTCCTTTGATGATATTATTAATAATTCACTTGTTTTGTGCCTTCCAGACCCAGACTGGGCTAGTTTAAATCTTGGTGCTTTAATGTGTATAGAATGCTCAGGAATACATAGGAATTTGGGTGCTCATGTATCCAGAGTCAGGTCCTTAGACTTGGATGAGTGGCCGTAAGTAGCATAACTAACCACTTGAAATTTGAGGACAGGTTCACATTTTTTCTGCTGAGTTGAATTTTTCATGCTTTTGTATCTCTCATGTTTGTTTAGTGATGTTCATCTTGTGAAAGAAAAAAACATGCCCATATTATTTTTCCACAAACTTTAATGGTTGATTTCAATGATATATTTTATAGTAGAGATGTCTGTTGTAATATTTTGTTAAATTCCACATTCCGTTTTGTTTTACAAATAATTAATAAATAAATATGTGACATTTTTTAGTCATCTCAATCACAAATTCTCCACTTTCAGGCCAGAACTTGTGGGAGTGATGACATTAATAGGGAACTCTGTGTCAAATGGGGTCTGGGAGGCCGCATATATAACCAAAGGCAAGGCCAAGCCAACCCCCAGCACACCAAGGTAGGCACAGTACTCACACGGAATGTCTCTGTTCTGTTCTGCCGCCTGGTTCTCAGTTCAGTGAAGATTGAACTGTCTTCTTGTGTCATGGTGTTAAGTCAGGAAAATGTATACCCCAAGTTTCAGACTTGACCGGGAGCAATTTCTTTATTTTCACATTTCCATACTTTTCTGCTTGTCGCATACCTGATCTTCAGCAGCATTTGTTTTCCATGTCGATTGCAAGTGTTAGACATAACTGTCAGCTACGGGCCTTTCTATAGAACTAGAAATCAAGATGACTGGAACTGTGATTGGCAAGCTAAACTAAAATCAAACCTGCTGCTAGTGGTCAGAATCTGATAATTGTGTACAAATGGAGATTTGAAATTAAAGAGGCAAGCATGCCTTAGGACACTGAAGCTCATGGCTGTATCATACAGCTCATGTGAAAATTTATATTATTTAAGCAGTGTAATTAACACTGAATTGAATAAAAGAGGACTGCATTGAAATGGTAGTTTGAAATGTAAGAGAAAAATGTCTTATCCACAGTTGCAAGGTTCTGATGTAATCATGTAAAATAAACAATCTCTTTCATTTCCAGGGAAGACAAAGAAAAATGGATCCGTGCCAAGTATGATTTGAAAGAATTTCTTCCACCTCCTCCACATAAAGATCATCCTTTAGGAAGAGTAAGTGGTCTCAGTCAGACTAGTTTCTGCAGTTACTCCACCAAGATTTGTGAAGAAAGGAGATTTTGTTATTTCTTTGGATTCACAAGCACAAATGATATCATTCTATTTGATATAGAACATTTTCCATACAGAATGTTATGTTTGAAGTTTTGAGATCCATTTTAACTCATGCAAGATGCAGTAATGAGACTTTTTCACACTGTCGGCAGATTTTGGACTTTTTGAGAACCAAAAATATCATTTTTGAGATCTATGTGGAGGGCCCCTTGGATCCCACGCCATATTTTCAGACATTTTCACTAAATGACAGTCTCATCCCTGAAGATGTAGAAAAACTATTTGTCTGGGCTGAGCAGTAATTTAGTCTGTTTGTGAAATTATTATTATTATTATTGATTTATTTATTTATTTTTTAATTTTTTTATTTTTTATTTTTTGCAATTTGTTACACACTGCAAAATGGTGCATTTTGCTATTACAATTACAAATTCTCCCTTGATTTGGCAAGGAACAATCTAATTCAGCCATATTCCCTCATTTCAGCAACTCATAGATTCTATAACAAGGGATGATATTAGGTCAACTGTACTTGTCCTCGCACTGTCAACCCCAGATGATGTGAACTCCTCCTATAGTGCACAAGATGGACGCAAGGCTATTCACGTGGCGGCTGCCCTGGGAAAGACACCAATTATACAATTAATACTATGGGTAGGTTGTGGCTGGTAGAGGCAACTATGTATTTGAAGTAAAGAGTGAATGATATATGTCGATTTATTTTGATAAATTATATTACTTTGATCCTGAAAATAATCAATTTGAAAGTGATATGTAACAAAAATGTGTATGTCAACTGTAGATTTTGTGTTCGTGTGTGTGAGTGTGAGAGAGCATGTGTGAGAGCATGTGTTTATGTGCATGCTACCAGGACTGCACATGTGAATCATAAGTTCTAGCTTCTTTGCTTGTTTACTTTCAGTATGGTGCAGACGTAAAAGCTGTGGACCACGATGGAAGAACAGCATTATGGTATGCTCGCACAAAAGGAGCACAGGACTGCGTAGACTTGCTGACTCACAATGGCTGCCCAGAAAACCCCACGTTACCGAGGCGGCGGGGGAGCACTCAACAGAAAAGTAATGATCCACTTTTTGACACACTCCCTGCAAGTGTTATATAGCATGTTATGCAAAGTAACCAGGCACCATGAGCACAATCAAAAGTAAGACCTCCTTTAAGTCTCCCTCTCCACGGACATTTTGTTTGGGACGTCTCCTTATTTCAGCGTGGTTTGGTTTGGTTTGGTTCCTTAGTAGGTAGGAGTGTGCTGTGAGCCTATTCACTAGTCTGTAACCCCCCCCCCTTTTTCTTTTTTTTTTTTTTCGGGAAATTTCGTTATAGAGTCTGGCACATTTTGTCTGAAATTTTAACCCAATGGACTGTTTTATATATTTCATATTTATGTGATATTTCATTTTATCCTAATTTCAGTAACAGATTGTATGTTAAATTTAAATTTGAATTCCTATGTAAAGATAATTAAAATGTTTAATCTGATGATGTTATTATGGTAATAGCAGTGCTGTCTGGAATAAGCTCAAAAGTTGTATCGGCATATAAATGTACTGATTTCATTCCCCACTTGTGAAGAAAAGAAAAATCTGCCTTTAAGATTCTAATTCTGATTTTAAGATTGAATATCAAATAATAAAATTTTCAATTTGAGAATCACATGTTGATTCCAAAAAAAGCATAATTTTATTCTTGATACATCAATTGCAGTATTAAGATAAAGGATACATTTATGCAAAGCCTTTTGAATTTAATTCATAATAGCATGATATATGCTGGTGTGCCATGAAGGTCTGTTTGGGTGTTTGTGAAGTTCTAATTTATCAACTAACACAGTGGGTTCCACAATTAACATTCATTAGGGCCTAAGTAGTTCATATTTTTAGTTGCTTTCTTATTTACCAGCTACTCATGTCCAAGGATTTTCTTGAAAAGGGTTGAGCATGTTATTAAGAATATAAAGTATACTAATTTTATGCAATTAAGACGGTTGTAGAAACAAAAGGTGCAACATTGCCCTTTCCTTAAAGAAATTGCTTCAAAGAATGTTGAAATGTCCTACACATAATAGATATTTTATCCAGTTACTCTTACCATTATTAAATGGACAAATAATTCTTATCTACTTTTAACTGAAGTAAACAAACATTTTGGACTAAAAGTTTAGTCCAATTCTTTGGCTAAAGCTCTTGCATATGCGAAGCCGCTCACCCCCAGTTGAATGAAACTTTGACTTAACTTAGTAGAAGTTATAACCGAGTAACTTATTTGTTGTAGTGATAAAACATGTACATGTACTGCCCAAGTATTCAGTATCATCCTTGTAACATGCATAAACTTATATTTTGATAGGTTTTAGACAGTGACCCCAGTATGAAAGGGAGAGGATCAACATCCTTGGTGTTTCTAGCAGCAGGCTTCGTCTCATACCCAGAACCATGACAGCTTCCAAGAAATAGATCTTCACTCAATGCTCTCGCTGCTGCAGAGTCTCAGAATATAGCCGTTTCTAGTACTTTGCCGTATATATAGAATTCATACTTTCGACAGCTGATGTTAGAGAACCGTCTATGTAGCAACTGCCTTGTTTTGGATGTACTGTATCTTAATGGTGTACTACATAAATAAACAGTTGCCTTATATTCATTGCAGAATTGCTGCTTAGAGATATGGTAATAGACATGTCTAAAATAAAAATCAATTGTAGGCATTATCATTTGTCTTTACTGAGTAAGAGCAGAGCACAAGCTGTTATATCTTAAGGTTTTTCTGATATAGTGGGAACCAATAACTTATTTGCCCTGATGTGTAATGTGATCTTTTAGATTGAGTCATCTCATTACAATGTTTAATCTGTTCAGAAATAATACCCATGTTGAAATTGGATGTTTTTCAATGTTAAACACCTGCAAGCTTTATTGTTTTCCAAGTGAGTCTCAGACGGTGCTTCCAGTTCTACAATTGCACACACACAAAAAGAAATAGCCATTGCCAATTGAATCTTAACTTAAGGATGAACAGGGCCAGATCTTCAGGAAAGAGATTGACAAAGGAAAAGTTCATTTACAATAAAAACACAGCTTAAATTCCTGGGTGGGGTGGGGGGTTTGACTTGCACTGCATGTTAGAGGGCAAATGAATTCTGTGTTTGGATTTTGTGATGTTCATTTTAGAAAGAAACACGCATTCCTACTGCCTGGAGGAACCAAAAATATTGACCAGCCTTTGACAGGGTCCATTTGCACCAAGTTAACTCTGCCGTCTACTGGCACTGAAAAAAAATCATTGTAGTAGTTACAAGATAAACATTAGGTGGCCGTTTTAAATCGTATTCAAAGCTATGTTGCTATGGTAATAGTTACCATAGTAATAAGACACTAAGTATTGATTTGATTACTTATTCTATGTTGAGAAGTAACTGTTATAATGGTTATGGTAGAAATGTTTGTACATTTGCGCACCATTTTGTAAAGTTGCATTGTAAGATAATCACATAATTTATTTGACCGTAGTTGATCTACATCCAGAATGTGTATCATTGGGACTTTTTGTCCAGGGTTTCCAGGAAAAAAAGTCTTCTTGAAATATTGAACACTAAAGCAAGCTGTTAGAACTGGCCTTTCTTTCACGGTGTTGTTCTTGTAATATAAGAAATGGTCCATTTTTAACCAAGATGCAAAACATCATTGAAAATTTAGACACTTGTGTAAATTTACATAACTTGTCTGTTAGTGTAGCCTGTACATTTGTCACAGTTTCTCTGCTTTTTTGTCACATGTAGTGAGGGACGTGGGCAATTGTTTTAGTTAATTTTTTTTTTTAATTATTATTGTAAACTTGGTCCATACTGCTGTAAATGTGTTGTTTATGTTGTGTGCTCAGTTGTAGATTGTTAAGTCCATCTGGCTTCATCTACATTTGAAATGATGATCTACAGTATTTGAAATGATGTAATTTCTGGGTACTCTGTCTGCTAATGCTAATATTATAGTCACATGGTCCAGGCTAAAATTTAAACATGTTCCCGTGTCACTGACATTGCAGACATTTTGCTTTTTCAAAGAGGAAATACCAATTTTTTAATACTCATCATTTCTTACATCCCATTGTGGATAAAACTAAGAAGTCTCGGTTTTGTTTGGTTCTTGTATTTGAACCCACTATTTTGCTAAATTTTATGAAAGTGCACTACTTGTGCATGTTTTTGATCTTTGACCCCATTCCCATAGATTTTTAGATCGATCTATCCCCGTGGGGAGTCTCACTAGATTGGTGTCAGCCTGACTGGCTTAAACGTCTGTCCCACCTGTCCCGCAATTTAGCGTGAACCCCCAAGGAGTTAGGTCGATCTGGATAGATCGATCTAAATCTATGGGAATGCACTCTTTGACATTTAAAATCCTAATTGGGTCTTATTCTTGTCCATTGTATGCCAAGTCTGTTTTAGACACATTCTATTCCTTGTCATTATAAAGGACCAGAACTTTCCGCTTCAGTACCTTCTTCACGGGTGTCCAGTTTCTGCTGGGACATTCTATGCAAGGACTACTGGATAACCTCATTTAAGTATCACCCTTTGTGTTAAAATTTGAGGCAATATATCAAAGCTTCATCATGATACTAGGTGGACCATTTTGGTGGAAGTTATGAGACAAATAACATGGGGAAAAGAAGTGGTCGACCACAGATTTGCTTCAGGTGATATATTGATTTCTGCATTTTGTGTCGAGTGTGCTCACGATTAAATAAGGTGCATTGTACATTTCCATTCATCATTTTATGTATTATAGGTATTTGTAAATATGGTATAGGCCATTAGTTGTATGCTATATACAGATATAGTATGGCATGTGTTAGATTTGCTGTACATGAAGTATCGTATAGCATGTTATTAGAATTTTTTTAATTACTATTATTATTAAGTACATGCCCATTGTACTGTTTTACTCTGTGTATTTATTACCTGTGCTCATCTCATCATTTTCATGTTTTGTTATAATAAATCGAAGTAAAGCTAAGGCGACCATGTTTCTGTCATCTGTGAAGTTCAGAACATTTCAGAACTGTCTGATCGATATCTTGCATTTATATAGAAAATTGGGGTCAAAACTCATTTCTGAATTTACCTTGCGATTGTAATTTGAAAATACCTCCGTTAACATTTTTTTAAATGGAGAAAATTCCAAAGTCTTAATAAGTTATAAAAAAGTCAATGAACTTGTACAATTCCGGTTTATTGTACTATTCATATTTCCCTATGAATATAAAAAATGTACAATGAACAAGACTCTCCATTGTACTATTCACATTTCCACATGAATAAAAAAAATTTACAATTAAATCTCTCTATTGGCATATGTACATAAGCAGTCTCTCTCTCTCTCTCTCTGCGTACATAAATATTATGTCTCACTCTTAACATGAATATCATCAGTTTCTACAGTTCCACTAAATATTTCATCAGTAGTAGGTAACTTGGTTATCTTGGGTCCCACACGGGTCCAGATAAAGCCCAAGTCTGGCTTAGTAGGTAGGGTGGGGTAAGGGGCCACCTTGGCACGAAAATAGTCCGAGGGAGCATGACATATAAAGTCCATACAGTCCAGGACTCTTGGGAGATCCTCCTCGGGACCTGAAATAACAACAAATTAATGAAAATATATTTAAGTCTAAAATTTAACGTCCAGCAGACTTCACATGAAAAGAGAAGTTATTTTAAATGTAATTGTTAAGATATCTAAAAAATTTTTTTTTAAATATTGTGATTTCAGATGAAAACAAGTTCTCGTGAGAGCTCTTTGCCACCTACCTAGAATGAAAGTAGCTGGGTCAAATTCATCTTTCTTGCTCTCTGTGGTAGGTAGCAGCCACGTGATCACAGCACTTTTCTGGGCAAACTGGTCTTGAAGGAAACCACGGATTTGAGCAAAGTAGATTCCCCCTCCATGATCCATCAGTGAAACTATGTCCCCAACTTGCCAGTACATACCCTGAATTGAATTTTTATCTATTTATTTATATATTTAATTTTTTGCTCACACTTTCGTTGAATATTGATTTTGATAGGGCATTTCCTTCTTCAATGAACAATATTCCAAGAGACTCCTTTAAAATGTGCAGAGTGAAACACATAGCTATGAAATGAAGACAAGTAAAAATGAGCATTCACTGTAAAATTGTTATTAATTTGAATGCAAGGTTGCATAGTTCACTGTATTGATATGTTCTAACCTCAGTTACCCATCCGAAAGACCCAGGTCAAACATGGGCCCTTGGGTAGCAACCTGTAAATATTTTGTTTTTGTCTTTTTCTTGTTACAAAACAGTTGTCAAATAACAAATGGTGTGCTTGCAAAAAATGCTACTGTTAAAATCAATAACATGTCCTATTATAAAAAATATGTGCTACAGCAAATGTATGCAGAGCTTTTACCTTGAAGAAGATGTAATCACTGGTAACAATGGTTGCTACTGATACAGCTGCTTTTATGGGCTGTGAATAGAAAAATGAATAGTATATGTCATACTTTGATGTCCAGTTAATATTACATATCAATCAAAAGGTCCTGAAATGCAAATGTTAAGGAATACTTTCTGCCAACTGTATTTCAAAGTTTCAAAGAATCTTCATCCTGCCCTCATGATCTTAAAGCTAATACGCAGTCTACCCTTTTAAAGAAGCAATAGAACAGAAGAAACCAGAAGAAATTTATGCCACAAGATTTTTTGTTAGAAAAATCTTTAAATAACAAAATAAGAGAACATGAGCTGAGAAGTGTTTGCTAAGTACTCACATTTTTCTTAAAAATAACCCTTCTATTTTTTCCCTTTGTCGCCAAAGATTTGGTCGAATTTTGAACCCTGTTCTTCGACGGCTTTATTCTAGCACTCTTCCGAACACCTGTGTTATTACTGGTTGAAGTCTTTTCTTCTTTCACCTGTGTTCTGGAAGAGGTCGACGTTTCACGTTCACGTTCTGTGGAAGTGACCGGCATGTTCCCGTTACCAGCTGTCCCAGAGACCACCGACCCAGGCCCTGCGAGAAGGACCTCTTTCCCGCCGTTCAAAACCTTCAGTCCACAAGAATTACATAGCACTTCTCCCTGCGAATTCTTCCGCCACATTGTTGAAGTGTTTGTTTTGCATGTAGCACATAGTGGTTTTACCCCAAAAGGCATTTTTTCGGTTTAAAAATCTTGATTTTTCCCGAATTCTTTCAACAAGATTTCAGTTTTGTCTCATTATCGATGTGAAATTGATCCTTACTACGCGTCGATACTAAAGCTTACATCGTGCCAAGAAAATCCTATCTAATGCCGTCCTCGTGCTGCTATTAAATCGACTGCTCATTAGATAAAAACGGCGTTTTTTTTTTTTTTTTTTTTTTTAATTTGTTTTCCAGCCCCAGTCAACTTACTAGCAATCTTCTATAAAATTTGATTTAAGTGCATTAACTTCCGCACTTTAAAAAAGAGAGAAATGAAAAAGACATCAAAATCGTCGCTGTACTTAAACTTGCTCACAGTTTCGTTGAATATTGATTTTGATATGGTATTTCCTTCTTCAATGAACTGAAGCAAAAATGCGCGCGTGATAACAGACACGTTTATTCCCATTCACTGTGTTTTACAACATCTACACGGCACCTGTTCAGATAGTCCGCCCCAGATAGCCATAGGGCCTATATACGAGGGTTTTCTAACGCAGATACCGTAGGCCATAACATGCATGGTGGTTGAGTCGTTAAATTGAGCGTTCGTGCTCACAAATCTGAGGCTTGAGCTGGCAATTGATAGCTAATTCGTTTTTAAAACCTGATCTCGAGGTACAGAGGGCACTGCGTATGTGGCTCGTACGTAGGCCTACTGGTAATTTTAAAACTCGCATATACTGATACAGAACGGAAATTTTTTAACTTAAAAAGCTTGTAACTTTTCACAAAGTCCAAGTCACAAAGTCAAGTAAATATTTATTAATTGTTTTAAATTACAAATTTTCGAGATTACGGCTCCAGAATACTAGCCAAACTCACTGAATTCAGGGCGCATGCAGTGTGAGTGTGTGTGTATGATAACAAGTGGGGTCAAACTGATAACCTGTAGTATCGGGTGACAAATACCTAGTAGGCCTAGGCCTATTACATGTGTATATCCACGATATTTCCACTGAACAGGCAACGTGAAAGACAGTTCAGACAGCCAAGGTCGCGGTATGAATAGCCAGACGTTTCTACATGCACAGACGACCTCGAACGACAATGGATGGGTCAGATCAAGGACGCCCTTGAACTCTGAACTCTGAACAGTAAGACTCCAGAAAAACTGATTCTTGGGAAGACAGTCTGGACAGTGGGTGATGCTATAAACTCTACTGACATTACAAAGGTCGTTGTTGAATTGTTCAGACAGATGACAGATGACCGTTGCCATATTGCAAGGTCACACTCGAAAGAAGTCCAGTTTAGTCCGATCACTTTGCATGAAAGTCAGCGGAAAGTGAGACCAGCCAGTGACATTCTAGACAAACAAGTTGACACAACTCTGCTGCATTAGCGATAGGAATATCCATTTTGTGTAAACACAGCGGTGACACACTGATAAATGTAGACCCCCTATCAGATAATACTTTTATAAAACAGGTTCAAGAAGATGCCTGGTGATAAAGACGATGCTTTACATAATGGTGTGGCTGACGACGGGCTTCCTCCATCAATGAAAAATAGGACGACGGAAAGCGTTTCCCTAGCAGGGGTCACTTCTACCTCAGAGGAGTTGAAAAAGGTGACTTTTGATAAATCACCACACGTTGAGACTTACACAGATACAATGGAAGTAAGCGAGATGACCAAAACCAATTTTTATACAGGGCCAACCGACAACGTGGTCTTGAGGACATTTCGCAATGCGCTCACATCAATCTGGGAATTCATTACCGCTTTAGCTGCATTCCTCCTGCTACTGGTCCTTTTGCCAGTGCTTCTTCCGCTGTCTCTTAGTTTTCGCATATATAGACGGGTTGACGAACAGATTATTAGATACAAAACAAATGGAGAAGCAGCGGTAAGGAATGGAAACATGTTATGTTATGTTATGTTATGTTATGTTATGTTATGTTATGTCAAAAAGAGCTGAATACAATTTGCCCAATTTATGTATTGCTCAGCTATAGTTTTAACATGTGAAAATACAATGTAATATCATTCCAAGACATTTTTCGCTTTACTTTCCAATTTATTAACTTTGCATAATCTCAGGTGGAGTTCTAATTTCAGGTGATAAAAGGCGTAGATTCGATATGGTTGCAAGACACACCGAACAACCGTGCCATCATAAATGCCATCCTCGCTGCCAAGGGACAGGGTGACGTCATCAAGTGGAGAGAAATCTTGTTGAAAAAGTTTGTCTTAGCAAAGAACGATCACGGGGAAATCCTCTTTCCAAAACTGAGGGAGTACCCCACGACATTGCTCCACAGGTACGAGTAGGACCCCCTGCGTCAGTTTTAAATTGCGTGGTTAGCAACTTAGATTTTATATTGTAGTGTAGAGATGGGTTTAATACAAACTGGACGTCTATGATGATTTTCCTCAATAAGCGGTCAACAATTTGGACAGAACATCCGTGTCTGAAACATCCACTACAGGATAACCTTCAATGTGCGTATGAAGTCCCATGTAAAATTGTCTTTGTGCACATACACTGCATGGAATATTTTTCAACGTTTTCATGACATACAGTCATGGTAAGCTTATGCAAAGCAGCAAAAGACTTGTAGGGCCCTTAAATATTTTATATGTATTTTACACACCTTTTTTTTTTAATTTCAGATACATATGGATGCCCGAAAAGGACTTTGACATAGCCAACCACGTGTATATGTATGATGGACTTCCCCTCAAAAACAAGAAAGACCTTGAAGAATGTGTTGGAAAATTAAGTCAGAGAGCATTTAAGAAGAGGCAGGCACAGTGGGAGGTTATTGTCATACCCCCAACGAAGGACGCAGGCGGCACTTACTATGCTCTATTTCGCGCCCACCATTCTATTGCTGACGGCATTTCCTTCGTGAGAGCGTTCCTGCAAAACCTTGTGGACAATCCGCTCAAAGAAGAAGAAACAAAACGGTACGCTTCGACTGTGTCTAAAACCTGGTTTACGATCGCGGCCATTTTTTTCGGACCGAAATTAGCGCTCCAGCGACTGGCGGCGGTTGGCGATCACAGTTGTCTGCACGGGCGGGAAATGTCCGGCGTGAAGCTGGTCACTTGGTCTGATCCCATCAGCCTAGCGTTAGTGAAAAAGATCAAAAATGCCACAAAAACAACAGTCAACGACGTCCTTATGTCTTGCATGGCGGGCGCTTTCACTGACTACTTTGCTTCTCGCAAAGAAATCCCACCGACACATTTGTTGACTACAATCCCCGTTGCCTTACAAGCAGCGTCGGAGGAAATCAGTCTCGAAAACCGTTTTTCCCTAGTTTTCCTACGTCTTCCTACCTCCATCTCAGATGACATAGAGCGTCTCCGAGTTACCAAACAGCGCATGGACGCAATCAAACGCACGCCAGAGCCCCTTGTGAATGAGTTTCTGATACGTTACAGCATGAGCCGTTTACCGGGCAGCCTCACGCGGCGGCTGTTTGATGGACTTGGAAGGAAATCTTCGATGATTTTATCCAACGTTCCTGGTCCTCAGCATCACATACAGATAGCTGGAAGTGAGGTCACCATGATGACATTTTGGCCACCACAAAGAGCTAATGTTGGTGAGTGCCATTCATTCAACCATTCATCCACCTATCCATCCATCTGTTTATATCTCTGCGTGTTATCTTTTCCCTTGGGGGGGGGGGGGGAATCAAAATTTTATAAATANAAAGCGTTTCCCTAGCAGGGGTCACTTCTACCTCAGAGGAGTTGAAAAAGGTGACTTTTGATAAATCACCATACGTTGAGACTTACACAGATACAATGGAAGTAAGCGAGATGACCAAAACCAATTTTTATACAGGGCCAACCGACAACGTGGTCTTGAGGACATTTCGCAATGCGCTCACATCAATCTGGGAATTCATTACCGCTTTAGCTGCATTCCTCCTGCTACTGGTCCTTTTGCCAGTGCTTCTTCCGCTGTCTCTTAGTTTTCGCATATATAGACGGGTTGACGAACAGATTATTAGATACAAAACAAATGGAGAAGCAGCGGTAAGGAATGGAAACATGTTATGTTATGTTATGTTATGTTATGTTATGTCAAAAAGAGCTGAATACAATTTGCCCAATTAATGTATTGCTCAGCTATAGTTTTAACATGTGAAAATACAATGTAATATCATTCCAAGACATTTTTCGCTTTACTTTCCAATTTACTAACTTTGCATAATCTCAGGTGGAGTTCTAATTTCAGGTGATAAAAGGCGTAGATTCGATATGGTTGCAAGACACACCGAACAACCGTGCCATCATAAATGCCATCCTCGCTGCCAAGGGACAGGGTGACGTCATCAAGTGGAGAGAAATCTTGTTGAAAAAGTTTGTTTTAGCAAAGAACGATCACGGGGAAATCCTCTTTCCAAAACTGAGGGAGTACCCCACGACATTGCTCCACAGGTACGAGTAGGACCCCCTGAGAGGTTTTGCGTCAGTTTTAAATCGTGGTTAGCAACTTACATTTTATATTGTAGTGTAGAGATGGGTTTAATACAAACTGGACGTCTATGATGATTTTCCTCAATAAGCGGTTAACAATTTGGACAGAACATCCGTGTCTGAAACATCCACTACAGGATAACCTTCAATGTGCGTATGAAGTCCCATGTAAAATTGTCTTTGTGCGCATACACTGCATGGAATATTTTTCAACGTTTTCATGACATACAGTCATGGTAAGCTTAAGCAAAGCAGCAAAAGACTTGTAGGGCCCTTAAATATTTTACATGTATTTTACACACCTTTTTTTTTAATTTCAGATACATATGGATGCCCGAAAAGGATTTTGACATAGCCAACCACGTGTATATGTATGATGGACTTCCCCTCAAAAACAAGAAAGACCTTGAAGAATGTGTTGGAAAATTAAGTCAGAGAGCATTTAAGAAGAGACAGGCACAGTGGGAGGTTATTGTCATACCCCCAACGAAGGACGCAGGCGACACTTACTATGCTCTATTTCGCGCCCACCATTCTATTGCTGACGGCATTTCCTTCGTGAGAGCGTTCCTGCAAAACCTTGTGGACAATCCGCTCGAAGAAGAAGAAACAAAACGGTACGCTTCGACTGTGTCTAAAACCTGGTTTACGATCGCGGCCATTTTTTTCGGACCGAAATTAGCGCTCCAGCGACTGGCGGCGGTTGGCGATCACAGTTGTCTGCACGGGCGGGAAATGTCCGGCGTGAAGCTGGTCACTTGGTCTGATCCCATCAGCCTAGCGTTAGTGAAAAAGATCAAAAATGCCACAAAAACAACAGTCAACGACGTCCTTATGTCTTGCATGGCGGGCGCTTTCACTGACTACTTTGCCTCTCGCAATGAAATCCCACCGACACATTTGTTGACTACAATCCCCGTTGCCTTACAAGCAGCGTCGGAGGAAATCAGTCTCGAAAACCGTTTTTCCCTAGTTTTCCTACGTCTTCCTACCTCCATCTCAGATGACATAGAGCGTCTCCGAGTTACCAAACAGCGCATGGACGCAATCAAACGCACGCCAGAGCCCCTTGTGAATGAGTTTCTGATACGTTACAGCATGAGCCGTTTACCGGGCAGCCTCACGCGGCGGCTGTTTGACGGACTTGGAAGGAAATCTTCGATGATTTTATCCAACGTTCCTGGTCCTCAGCATCACATACAGATAGCTGGAAGTGAGGTCACCATGATGACATTTTGGCCACCACAAAGAGCTAATGTTGGTGAGTGCCATTCATTCAACCATTCATCCACCTATCCATCCATCTGTTTATATCTCTGCGTGTTATCTTTTCCCTTGGGGGGGGGGGGGGATCAAAATTTTATAAATATGAGACCTTTTATCAAAATATCTTATATTTTTTACAATTTATTTTGTCTTTTTTTTTCATTATTTCGTCTTTATTCTATTTGCGTTTTTTATCAGTTTCAATTCGTTTCATCACTACATGCATGTGTTTGTGTTTAGTCCTATTCATTTCAATTTAGACTAAGTTTGGGCCTGTGGATTGGTTTGATTGCAATATATTTTTTCCTGTCACATAAATTAATGTAGTTTATAGGCATTTAGTGTCTAAATTCCCGTTTTTTCCACTCTTTTTCCCCTGCAGGCATCGGTATCTCCATCTTTAGTTATGCCGGTGACGTCATAGTTGGCGTGGAAGTGGACCAGGTTATCATGTCGGAACCACGAGAACTTACGAGATTTTTTAAAAGCCGTCTGCAGTCACTTGCCAGACAAACCAAAGTTGAATAAAGGAAAAATGAAAAAGAAAGACAGGTTTGCTAAAATATAAAATTTTTTTAAAAACATGCATGCATGATGTAGCCTGTAGGCACTGAACTGGTGGAACTAATACACGTAGGCCTACTTTGTTAAGGGGGGATAGGGGGCACAGAGAATTTTTAAAAAGTTGCTTCGTTAATGAAAAGAATGTAGACCTGGAAATTTTTACTGTGGGATTAAGTATAGAGCACTATGTGCCCCCCCCCCCGCCCCCCTGCACGATCTGCAGTTGTGCCTTTGATGTTTAAAATCAAATGATAGGTTCCTACAACAATACTAGGCCTACTTTGGATCATAGTTTCATTGACTTGGATTATTAAACATCGTGTCCTGTGAACAAATCAGCCAGATGATTCTCTCGATAAAATTACCTCACTTAAGTGGCATTCACCATCAGTTATCACTCTCAATCACTAAATGCGTCAGTGTAGGCCTATGTGCCAGAACGTTTGCGATAGAATGTGCTAGGTGCGACGCTATTTTGGTAAACACTGCACTCCGCCAGAGTTAATTAAGTTCCATTTTTCTTGTTTGAATTTTTAGAACTTATTTAACCATACGAATATTAGTTGCTTTTGATAATCTAAGTTATGACTTTGCGAACTTCTCCTACTTTTTGTTGAGGAGCGTGTCAGATTAACTGTGCGTCCACATTAGTACAATTAGTTGACTTTGAGCTGTGTAATAAAAATATTTTAACTGGGAAGCTGTAACAAATACATAGGAATTTTGATGACTCAATGAAAAAAGTGGTGTTCTTGTGTTGCCCGATCAACTGATCTTACTTTTCAGCGCTGCATATTGACCCATTTTATTGGCATGAACATTGGATAAAATCGTGCTGAAGAAGTTGCGATTACACGCATAAAGTACGAGGCCATCGGCTCAGATGTGAAACTTATCAACTGTAGAGAGCTTCGTGACTTATGAAATACGTGGGTTTTAAGCCGTTAGACTGAATATGTAAACATGTCCAAAAACATTACGTGAAAGTATTTAGTGTTTGCTATTTCATTTTCAGCTTTAAGAAGGGGTTCAGAAACACGCAATGCAATTTGTGGGCCCCAGGAAGAATGCATTTTAACCAGCTGATTGGAAACACGCATATTAAGTTAAATAGTGTAGTTATGTCTAAGTGAAAGTTTAAATGGATATACATGTTTAAGCAAACATGTTAATAGACAATTAAACAGCGCTTAATAGTGGTCTGTAAGGAGAAAAATATAGAAAACGACATGGAATTTGTTCTACAGCTTACTTCTTGGTTATATATAGTCTGTATTGTTCACCTTGTAAAACTATAAGGTTATAATACAAGATAAATATGAGCTTTTTCATCCACCTTAACTGGACAAGCCCTTTATCAGTGTCTAGGGGATTGACGACAAGTTACACCCGTTTTCTATCATTTCGTTCAGTTTGCTTTATTAATGGACAAGATCCCAAACACGTGAAACGGACAACTGAAAAACGACACGTGAACAGAAAAACAGTCACTCCATCAACTGCGACCTTCACTGGTGTTTGGTGTACCTTTTGTATGTAAAATAATACAACCTATCAACATGTAATTAGCAAGAGTTGTGTAGGTACTTGGAAACTGTTTAAGAATCGTTGAAATTAGGGCTGCGTCAATTATTTTGTAAAAGTAGCCTACTCGAAGGTTGTAGGGTTGCCACTCATTCTGAGTCGTGAGAAAGCATCTCTTCAGCATCACCCCAATTGATCTATTATAAAAAATAATTGCCCACAAGAGGGCGCAGTAAATAATGGAAAGGAAACTCACCAGAACAGCACAGTTGGAGTGCAGAAATTTCGAATAGGTTGAGTTGGGTAGAGAGCTAATTTCAGGTTATTTTGATCGCATCTGTAGGGCCTTTGGATACAGACTGTTAACACTTTCTACGACGGTTAGGTAGATTCTTACTGTGCGTGACGCTTTTGAAAATACGAGACTTCCTGATTAAATGCTATTACGTTTATTATTTGGAGCCCGTGTGATAGACAATGTAGATAATTGATCTTTTATTGATTAATTTTCATCAAACTGTTATCCCGCATGGTGGGTTAAGGCAGGGTACATATTGCAGATGTTGGTACAGACTTAAACTTGCTTCTATGAAATATAAGCCCTGGCCACATATACAAATACAACACTTAGTCCTACATAAAATGCATACTTCAAGTCCAACTGAAGGTTTCACTCAGAAAACCGAGAGAAACCCTGCATGATTTGCCTGGCGTTTATATTGTGTGCCTGCATATTCGATAAATATCTCGTCGCCCAGTTATCAAAATTGAAATTTAAAGAGATTTCGCTAGAATAAACAGCTCTATATTTGACGCACGTAGGCCTACACATAACGACCCCGATTTAAATTTCCGGATTATNATCCTGTGAACAAACCAGCCAGATGATTCTCTCGATAAAATTACCTCACTTAAGTGGCATTCACTATCAGTTATCACTCTCAATCACTAAATGCGTCAGTGTAGGCCTATGTGCCAGAACGTTTGCGATAGAATGTGCTAGGTGCGGCGCTATTTTGGTAAACACTGCACTCCGCCAGAGTTAATTAAGTTCCATTTTTCTTGTTTGAGTTTTTAGAACTTATTTAACCATACGATTATTAATTGCTTTTGATAATCTAAGTTATGACTTTGCGAACTTATCCTACTTTTTGTTGAGGAGCGTGTCAGATTAACTGTGCGTCCACATTAATACAATAAGTTGACTTTGAGCTTTGTAATAAAAATATTTTAACTGGGAAGCTGTAACAAATACATAGAAATTTTGATGACTCAATGAAAAAAGTGGTGTTCTTATGGGGGGCGTCTCGATAGTCCGAAGGTTCATTGGTCCGAAGGTTCATTGGTCCGAAAAGTGGTAACATTTTCATCGATTTTTTAATCAAGGGTTCATTGGTCCAAAGGTTCTATAGTGAACATTCGGACCAATGAACCTTCGGACTATCGCTACGGCTCCTTCTTATGTTGCCCGATCAACTGATCGTTACTTTTCAGCGCTGCATATTGACCCATTTTATTGGTATGAACATTGGATAAAATCGTGCTGAAGAAATTGCGATTACACGCATAAAGTACGAGGCCATCGGCTCAGATGTGAAACTTATCAACTGTAGAGAGCTTCGTGACTTATGAAATAAGTGGGTTTTAAGCCGTTAGACTGAATATGTAAACATGTCCAAAAACATTACGTGAAAGTATTTAGTGTTTGCTATTTCATTTTCAGCTTTAAGAAGGGGTTCGGAAACACGCAATGTAATTTGTGGGCCCCAGGAAGAATGCATTTTAACCAGCTGATTGGAAACACGCATACTGTATTAAGTTAAATAGTGTAGTTCTGTCTAAGCGAAAGCTTAAATGGATATACATGTTTAAGCAAACATGTTAATAGACAATTATATAAACAGCGCTTAATAGTGGTCTGTAAGGAAAAAAATATAGAAAACGACATGGAATTTGTTCTACAGCTTACTTCTTGGTTATATATAGTCTGTATTGTTCACCTTGTAAAACTATAAGGTTATAATACAAGACAAATATGAGCTTTTTCATCCACCTTAACTGGACAAGCCCTTTATCAGTGTCTAGGGGATTGACGACAAGTTACACCCGTTTTCTATCATTTCGTTCAGTTTGTTTTATTAATGGACAAGATCCCAAACACGTGAAACGGACAACTGAAAAACGACACGTGAACAGAAAAACAGTCACTCCACCAACTGCGACCTTCACTGGTGTTTGGTGTACCTTTTGTATGTAAAATAATACAACCTATCAACATGTAATTAGCAAGAGTTGTGTAGGTACTTGGAAACTGTTTAAGAATCGTTGAAATTAGGGCTGCGTCAATTATTTTGTAAAAGTAGCCTACTCGAAGGTTGTAGGGTTGCCACTCATTCTGAGTCGTGAGAAAGCATCTCTTCAGCATCACCCCAATTGATCTATTATAAAAAATAATTGCCCACAAGAGGGCGCAGTAAATAATGGAAAGGAAACTCACCAGAACAGCACAGTTGGAGTGCAGAAATTTCGAATAGGTTGAGTTGGGTAGAGAGCTAATTTCAGGTTATTTTGATCGCATCTGTAGGGCCTTTGGATACAGACTGTTAACACTTTCTACGACGGTTAGGTAGATTCTTACTGTGCGTGACGCTTTTGAAAATACGAGTCTTCCTGATTAAATGCTATTACGTTTATTATTTGGAGCCCGTGTGATAGACAATGTAGATAATTGATCTTTTATTGATTAATTTTCATCAAACTGTTATCCCGCATGGTGGGTTAAGGCAGGGTACATATTGCAGATGTTGGTACAGACTTAAACTTGCTTCTATGAAATATAAGCCCTGGCCACATATACAAATACAACACTTAGTCCTACATAAAATGCATACTTCAAGTCCAACTGAAGGTTTCACTCAGAAAACCGAGAGAAACCCTGCATGATTTGCCTGGCGTTTATATTGTGTGCCTGCATATTCGATAAATATCTCGTCGCCCAGTTATCAAAATTGAAATTAAAGAGATTTCGCTAGAATAAACAGCTCTATATTTGACGCACGTACACATAGCGACCCCGATTTAAATTTCCGGATTGTTTGGCATATTCTGGTTAGCATATTAGGGACATTTCAGATTAGTAATTTCCCAAATTTACAACCGGAAGCACGTGATTTCGGTTGCACGTTCCGCCCACGAAACACGCCGTTACTTTGGCGTACATAGCTTACAGTGCACGGGTCCCGTACTTTACTTTTATGTCGCCCTGATTTTTATGCAGTCAATTAGTTATGGTAAACTTGGATCTATTTCCCGTGACATTTCAATTCCATTGATAATGTTTGTAAACCACTTGCAAACACGACTGATATCCGCCCTTCTGTCGCTTCGAACAAAGAGGCAGCGGCCAAGTGAGACTGCCAAGAACGAATATTGGGCTAACAACGACACCGAACGCATTCGATAACGCATATTATTTTCCCCAGCCTTGCTAACGCTGCAGTTGTTATGATCATTGAATATAAATCAAAATAGCATCATGCTTTGCTTACTGCCTTTTTCATTGTTCAACCGAGTTTATGATATGTTGCTCATTGCAAAAGAGGCTATCAAGTAACTTCGAAATTCTCTCAGTATCTGAGTAAATATTACGTTATCCTGAATGACGCCGTATCATCAACAACACAAGTTTACATCAATATATAGCTGATTTATTTATTTATAGCGAATGCTGTATTAACACAGCTGATCCACGGATAATCTACATACAAAAGTGTTTGAACTAACAGCACTAGAGAAAAAAACTGAGTCATTAAAGTTTGGGTTAGTTTTCAATTTTGATTTTGCAACATGGTGAATATTCAATATAAATTTCCTCTTAAAATATATTGTAATTGTACATAGAGATCATCAGTTTTTATCTTAAAATTAACTTAAAAGAGCTATTTACAGCGGTTCGTCTTTCTAATATGAATAAATTAAAACAGTTGGCATATTTCTCACATTTGGATATAACGATGCCGAACTCTCTTCTTTTCTTAATTCTTTCTAAAACACACAATTGCCTAAGAGGAAACTCCCATTGCTGATGCATAGGGCAGATTCCTGCACGACCATTAAATTACCTACACACAGAGATTTGTTAAATAAAATGGAGTTAATATTTAAGTAAATGAATAATTAAATGTCATTGCACTGAAAACCAAAATTAATTGCATGTCTCTTGATTTATTAAAAGAAATAAAAAATCTAATTGAAAAAAAACTGACTGACTGGAAAAAAGTCTAGATCATGCCTACTTAAAATGCATACTTTAAGTCCTCGCCATATGCTCAGTCCACACCGCCAGAGATATAGTAATCACAGACATTGACCAGAGTCACTGGTAAGAAGGGGCACTGATCGCGAGACGGGAAATCGCGTGATGTTTGAAAGTCCCGAGATTTGCCACCCAGACTTGCCACGGACAGAGTTCATCAGTTAGCTATTTCTTTTGCCGAGAAAACGTGGTTTGTTTTGATTGCTCCTCTTGTCGGACGTTGACAATGCCATGTCATCCCCGGCTGCAGTGGTAGTGAGCTCGTCACGCTTTCCTAGAAAACTGGGTTTATTTCTGTCACTGGACTGAGAACGGAACATATTGTGCAAAAAGGCGGACATATCCCCGCTTTTCTTTCCAATAAACCTGGGCTTGTTTTTAGCATTTGAGTACGACCTGAACATGTTCTGTAGGTACGACCTAACGTCCCGTTTGCCGATAAATCTGGGCTTTTGACGATTTCCCTGTTTGGCACGAAACAGTTCCGACACGTAACTTTTCAAGTCTCTCTTGGACCGCGATTTGACGGCTCTTTTGCCGATAAAACCTGGCTTCTGGCGCGTGCTTGGTTTGGACCGAAAGAACGACTGGACATAATCTTGCACGTCTCTCTTGCCGATGAACCTGGGTTTCTGTAGCGCGATATCCTGAGGGACGATGGTCTGGATGCCAGGTACTTCCACTTGTCTCTTCCCCAGGAATGCTGGGTTGTGTTTGCCCGCCGTCTGCGACCTCATCAGGTTTGCCAGATACGCTTGCATCCTGGAACCGCGTTTTTTAAAGAATCTGGGCCTCCTGGTTCCTTCGTCAACGCTAATCTGAGAGCTACCTGTCTCATGTTGGTTCCAATCCCGCTTCCCCAAGAAGGCGGGGTTATTCCGGATTGAAGACCCAGGCCGGAACATGTTCAGCATGTAGGCCCGCACGCCTCCTTTGAAACGACGCTTTTCCGAGGCGTTCCTGTCATCCACGTCTTCTGAGTCGACGTTCAAATCACCGTCTACATCTTCATCCATGCCGTCTTTAGCTACATCGACTATAACGACGGGATCGTATGTCAGAAGCCACGATGCGATGCCATCGGTGTCATCAGTAGCGGGGGTTTTGACAAATATACCATACTCGACTGGTTCCCTTATGCCTTCGTCCGTCACATCTTTGCCTGAATTAAGAAAAATAAATAAATGAATATAACACTAAACCGGAACGTTTTTTTTATCTTTAAATAATATCAAGTGATGTTTTAAGAGCATTGTATGTACGTGGTGGTAAAATTATGACGGCTGTATATTCCTAGATCTGATTCTTACGGAAACTTACGATAAAAGAAAATCAAGTATCATTCAAATATGTAAAGCATCTTAGCTATCCATACAGATAATCGTAATTAGTATCGGTCATTTACATCAGAACAAAAAAAATAATAAATTGGCTTAAGTAAAAATTAAATAATTATAAACAACCATTATATATATTACCAAAGTAATCAAATATATCTAGCTTTTAATATATTTGAACCGCCATGCAATCAACATCTGGCCGTAATGATTTAACGGGTGCATAAAGGCAATAATTAAGCTATTAGCATAAATGAGGTCGTTTTATTCTACATCGAGAATAATTCCTCGTAGCGTTTTTTTTTTATTATCAAAAAAGCAGTAAACTGTGTTAAACGGGAACAAGAATATTCATTTCATATAATGCGCTAGCTGTCTATATACTGTATATTCCAATATGCATGTAGCAAAGTTTGGACCCAATTTTTCATTTTTTTAATTACCTCTGATACATTAAGTGTGGCATTTCTAAAATGTAATATGTATCCTTATATACATATAGTAGTAATTTAGATAGATAGTAATAGATAATAATTTCGGAAGTTTACGACATACTGTGAACGGATAAAGACAATAAGTTATATTTCAGTTAATACATTCTACATCATTTATCGTAGATAAACACGGACTTTAATTAATCATTTGATAAATGTTCACAATAAATGGTGGAATTCATCACTGTTGATTTAACTGGGATTATGTTGTAGTCGTGAGCTAATTAAACGTAAACGTAGTTTAAGTTTGTATGGAATTTCAGTTTTAAAAACTACGTTTGCTCGTCAGCGGAATGACTACGGAGAGTTAACTTATTTCAGTTTACCTAAAATGAATGGCGCATACTCTATCTGTCATTGATTTTTAGCTATAAAGTGGATTTACATTATTTTGTAGATGTGAATTAACTTTTCTAAGATATTTCTTATAATATACGTGTGTAAAGATGAAGATTACACTGAATCAAAAGCACTGAAGAAATACTTTTAGAAATCGTACGGTCAAGGCTCACAATTTATAGTATTAAAGAAAAGCTCTAACTGAAACTGTCTTTACTTATTTACTCACCAATTGCCTTTAAACCGGAGTCCGTATCTTTTTTCCGTAGAGCCGTACAATTTGCCATTACTGCCAGTAAGGAGAGGAGAGTCCATCCCTTCACGAGTGCCATCGCTAACTTGACGTTCTCAAGAACTGGCCGCGGCTTATATACAGAGCGGGGATCAGGCACAACCACGAGTTCTCGAACTCTGGTTTCCGCTTTGTGGCTAATCAAATTATTAATGGCACGAGACGCACGCAGGCGTCTTACTTCTGGCAAATAATTCTTCGGGCCAGTTCCAAGCCGTGGACAGATTCGGATAAGTGGTTGTCTTTTCGCTTAAATGGTCCTTGTGGAGACCAGACGTGGGTTAAAAACACTCCTTATGTGTCTTTAAAAGTGGATGCCAGAGAACAAAATAACCCCACTTCATCGAGAGGTTCAAAGAAATCGATCATCTGCTTTCTGGAAATAAAATCGGGAATGGTGACTGTTCACGTGACCGGAACGTCATGCAGTTTTCTTCAACTGCGCTCTGCTTCAGTACTTTCCCGCGAACATGTTCACAGGCAGATGCCAAACTATTTCTCGGCGAAGTAGCGACACTGATTGCCATTAAAAGATAATGGAATCACCCTTTTTAATGGTGTCTTCATCTAATGTCCGCTATGCCAAGTGAAATATTGCCCCATCTTTTCAAGGTACGCCGAATCATCAAGTCAAATTTGTTCGGAGCTGGTAGCATGACAAACTCCCTATTCAATATGCTGACAATAGTTGGGCTCCTCAAAATATGAGCGTGATATCGATATATCCTTTCACATCATTGAAGTTAAGGTAAAGGTATTCAATTGACCCCGCTAAAATATTGCCTTTTAAAGAAAATGTGTTCATCCGAACAGGTAACATTTATCCGCCCAGACGGGATTGAAACAGTTCTAGTTCTTATGGTCATAATCACCATCAACGCTTTCTAATGATTCACATTTGGGAAAAAGTTGGCATTTCCCGAATTGCGGAATGGGCGGCTTCATGGCCATTAATCAAGAACTTTCAAATAAGGCATTTCCTTAATTCCTTTAATTTGTGGCAATGAATTCGCGTTCGTCGTTTTTGAACAGAAAAGGTGTTGTCGAAGCGACGGAGTTACGCGTCTTAGCAGTCAAGTATAAAAATCATACAGCGAGACGCGCTCGTCCGTGTCCCGTTCACGAAGCCCATAATTTACCAGCCTGGAACGTTCAGCAAATAGACTTACCGTGTATCTAACTATACTAAAAGCAACCACAAATACTGAGCTATTACCATGGTATGATCTGTTTCCGTTTCGCATAATGATTATTGTATCAACGATTAATGCTGTCCAATACCCTGCTTCTCAATGTTATTCGGTCAGGGGATGAGTGCAATTTTTGTTTGCTTTGTGAATATTTATATTAAGATTATTTGAATTATCTCACGTTTCACAATTTCTACATATTATACCATGGTAATGATGGACTGCATTTCACTTATTTAATTAAAGTAAATTGAATCGTAGAAGTGATATAAATCGTATTTCTTTTAATCGCTTTCTTTTTTTTTTATAAATCTCTCTCTTAAATTTGATCATTGCTCTGTCACTGCGAAGTATTTGCGAGTTTTTATTTCATCCGGTAATCCAAGGATTAATTTGCTGAGACTATTTCATAGAACGTTATCTGATACAAAGAATCGAAGAACAATGCGAATCATAGAACTATACATGTATATTATATCATTTGCTAGGTGTATACAACTCATCATGATATGTGTCTAAAGCGATACAGTTATTTCACGTTTCTTTCTCAACTTAGTTTTCTGTCACTCATTTTTTTTATTGCAGATTCTTAGTTTTGTTAAAATAAAAACGCACAACGCTTTTACGTATACCGTCCTACACTGCACTGTTAAGTAAGGCCCCTCTCTGTTAGTGTGCCATTGGGGATAGTGGGCACCAATGTCAGAGTATCATATGTTTAATATTTTACCCGTGCTACCTCCGCTTCCTTCAATCACGACAACTCTCGCCCCACAGTGTATTTTTGTGATTCATCTCATCTACTAAATTGACGCACTGTAAGTTTTGCCGTCACCGTCCGTACGTCACGACTTATTTTGCAAGAGCTACATGAAATAACAAAGAAAGAAATGGTTGGCAATGAAATGGAAAGAAGGAAAAGGACAAGAAAAGTAGTCATTGACAAACTATGATGATAAGTGTACACAAAAGCAGCAATACCAATGCTGTAAAGTTATTGACTTACGCTTTCACTAATAGCAGGTAATAATTAAAAAGGAACCATGTAAAAGGAAAGGGAGTTATTGAGTGTAAGTTAAATTTCTCTAAGAGTGGAATCTGTTTTAGTGTTAGGAAAAGATGAATAGGGTTTAAGTCGGATACAGTTTTATTTGATAGGTAAATTTCACTATAGGATGCATTTTGCTATCACCATCAACCTTGTATGCAATATGAGAATGGAAAATTTCTGATAATCATGCCATAGGCACTGGAAAGAGAAAACAATTAAAGGCGTGATCAGTGTGGGGAAATCCTGAAGGGCAGATATCAGTACAATTCATTATCAATTCCAATTAATTCCATTACTGGTCAATACACTGTTATGATTCCGTATATGGTATTCTGATATAAATGATACATACCACAATTTGCTAACGCAGGTTTCCTTATAATTAAGATAGTTATTTGAAGATGAAAATGTGAAAAATTCACTAATGATAATAGGTTCAATAATATCTTCCATGTTATGAATTTTCGTGAGTCTATAGTTTTTGTCATAATTAATGTTTTTAAATGGTTTATTAAAAAATAGAAAAAAAGAGACATTAGTATAAAAAGTAGATTTGCACATAAAATGGCTGATGAAAATCACTTTGGACAGTTTTACTAGTTCAGTTTCCCTGAGAAATATTTGAACTTACATAGAACACAAATTCCTTTCAGTAAATATGTAACATATTTTGTCTCCAAGTGTGTGCCGCAATATTTCCATGGGAAGTTCGGAAGGCTAAATCGATGGCCCTAAACAAATAATTGGCAAATTGTGTTGTTAAGCAGATGCAAATGAAATAAATTTCTTGATAAAATACACTAAGAGCACAGGGAACTTTTGCAAAATGATGCTATCGGTCAATGCAAATATCTTCTAGAATTATGTGACCTGAAAACAACGAAGAATGTAGCTCATTATGCTGTATGTGTAATATTCATCAATAAATAATTTCAAACTAACTGCCACACAATTATCAAAAAAATTGTTTCCCGAACCTAATTATGATGTTTTCTGTATAATCTTTTTGTGTGAACCTACTTCCAAATTGATATTGTAATTTTTGTGCCGTAGACATATAGAATAGGTTCTATACTCACTGGAAACTGTAATTGGAGCAAACTGAATGAATAATAATTATTACTTTTTTGTTGGGAAAATTACCAGTGAGCAGTAACAATGCTTTTTAGCTACATTTATTTTGAATGCAATCGACTCACGCGCTTGCGTGTAAACCCACCTATTTTCACAGTTCCTCACAGTTGGTTGTTCAGTCTATAATCGATCTTTTCATGCTGTTTGTTTTTATCAAGCTGGACCATATTTGACATTCCGCACCCCGGAGTTTAGGCATTTGTACATTTAGAACTGAACCGTAAGTCAGTTAGAAAAAATTGACTGAGTAGTTTTAATAAATAATAATTAACGTTAAGGTTAATTAGATAGGTGTGTGTGTGTGTACTTTGTGCCCCTTTGCGTATCAAAAACCAAACAGGAGTTTCATTTAGATAAAGGTGTTTCAGACATTAACAAAGAATGCATCACGTTTGAAAAATGCGTGATGAGTTTAAAGACCAGACACTTGTATAATCATCGCATACGTTTGAGAACGCATGCATGTAGGTGAATATGACGTCAGTGCACGAAGTTATGTTCAGGTCATTCACTCATTATTAAGAGACCAGTGGTTCGTTAATGATCATTTTGGCAAGAATGAAGACGGATATTGTGACATTTTAACCCCCGTAATGATTAAACTCGTCATTTTTACCGAAGAGTGCCCTTTACCTTTTAGTTGAGTGGTGTTATTAATAGCATGCAAATAAACTGACGAATGTAACTAAGTTCGAGTACTAGGTACATTGTGTAAGAAATAATCCATGCTGACGTTTTAGANGCTAATAATGGATTGCAGTTCACTTATTTAATTAAAGTAATTTGAATCGTAGAAGTGATATAAATCGTATTTCTATTAATCGCTTTCTTATTTTTTTTTCATAAATCACTGTATTAAACAGATCACTGCTCTGTCACTGCGAAGTATTTGCGAGTTTTAATTTTATCCGGTTATCCAAGGATTAATTTGCTGTAACTATTTCATAAAATGGTATCTGATACCAAGAATCGAAGAACAATGCGAATCATAGAACTATTCATGTATATTATATCATTTGCTAGTTGTATACAACTCATTATGATATGTGTCTAAAGCGATACATTTATTTCACGTTTCTTTCTCAACTTAGTTTTCCGTCATTGATTTTTTTTATTGCAGATTCTTAGTTTTGTTAAAATAAAAAAGCACAGCGCTTTTACGTATACCGTCCTACACTGCACTGTGAAGTAAGGCCCCTCTCTGTTAGTGTGCCATTGGGGATAGTGGGCACTAATGTCAGAGTATCATATGTTTAATATTTTACCCGTGCTACCTCCGCTTCCTTCAATCACGACAACTCTCGCCCCACAGTGTATTTTTGTGATTCATCTCATCTACTAAATTGACGCACTGTAAGTTTTGCCGTCACCATACGTACGTCACGACTTATTTTCAAAGAGCTACATGAAATAACAAAGAAAGAAATGGTTGGCCATGAAATGGAAAGAAGGAAAAGGACAAGAAAAGTAGTTATTGACAAACTATGATGATTAAGTGTTCACAAAAGCAGCAATACCAATGCTGTAAAGTTAATGACTTACGCTTTCACTAATAGCAGGTAATAACTAGAAAAGCACTCCGAGAGCGCAGACCCCCGCCAAGGCAGCGGATTTTGATTATTATTGATTATTGATTGATTATTGATACGGATCACCACCAAAAACTAATCATCTCTTCCTTGGCCCACTTCTGACAGTTCCTGAAAATTTCATCAAAAACGGTCTATGACGTTTTGAGTTATGTTGATGACAATTAAACAAACAAACAGACAAACGGGTGAAAACATAACTTCCTTGGCGGAGGTAATTAAAAAGGAATCAAGTAAAAGGAAATGGAGTAATTGAGTGTAAGTTAAATTTCTTTAAGAGTCAACAAGTGTGGAATCTGTTTTAATGTTAGGAAAAGATGGATAGGGTTAAAGTCGGATACAGTTTTATGTGATAGGTTAATTTCACTATAGGATGCATTTTGCTATCACCATCAACATGGTATGCAAAATGAGAATGGAAAATTTCTGATAATCATGCCATAGGCACTGGAAAGAAAAAACAATTAAAGGCGTGATCAGTGTGGGGAAATCCTGAAGGGCAGATATCAGTACAATTCATTATCAATTCCAATTAATTCCATTACTGGTCAATACGCTGTTATGATTCCGTATATGGTATTCTGATATAAATGATACATACCACAATTTGCTAACGCAGGTTTCCTTATAATTAAGACGAAAATGTGAAAAGTTCACTAATGATAATAGATTCAATAATATCTTCCATGTTATGAATTTTCGTGAGTCTATAGTTTTTGTCATAATTAATGTTTTTAAATGGTTTATTAAAAAATAGAAAAAAAAGAGACATTAGTATAAAAAATAGATTTGCACATAAAATGGCTGTTGAAAATCACTGTGGACAGTTTTACTAGTTCAGTTTCCCTGAGAAATATTTGAACTTACATAGAACACAAATTCCTTTCAGTAAATATGTAACATATTTTGTCTCCCCGTGTGTGCCGCAATATTTCCATGGGAAGTTCGGAAGGCTAAATCGATGGCCCTAAACAAATAATTGGCAAATTGTGTTGTTACGCAGATGAAAATGAAATAAATTTCTTGATAAAATACACGAAGAGCACAGGGAACTTTTGCAAAATGATGCTATCGGTCAATGCAAATATCTTCTAGAATTATGTGACCTGAAAACAACGAAGGATGTAGCTCATTATGCTGTATGTGTAATATTCATCAATAAATAATTTCAAACTAACTGCCACACAATTATAAAAAAATTGTTTCCCAAACCTAATTATGATGTTTTCTGTATAATCTTTTTGTGTAAACCTACTTCCAAATTGATATTGTAATTTTAGTGCCGTAGACATATAGAATAGGTTCTATACTCACTGGAAACTGTAATTGGAGCAAACTGAATGAATAATAATTATTACTTTTTTGTTGGGAAAATTACCAGTGAGCAGTAACAATGCTTTTTAGCTACATTTATTTTGAATGCAATCGACTCACGCGCTCACGTGTAAACCCACCTATTTTCACAGTTCCTCACAGTTGGTTGTTCAGTCTATAATCGATCTTTTCATGCTGTTTGTTTTTATCAAGCTGGACCATATTTGACATTCCGCACCCCGGAGTTTAGGCATTTGTACATTTAGAACTGAACCATAAGTCAGTTAGAAAAAATTGACTGAGTAGTTTAAATGAATAATAATTAACGTTAAGGTTAATTAGATAGGTGTGTGTGTGTGTACTTTGTGCCCCTTTGTGTATCAAAAACCAAATAGGAGTTTCATTTAGATAAAGGTGTTTCAGACATTAACAAAGAATGCATCACGTTTGAAAAATGCGTGATGAGTTTAAAGACCAGACACTTGTATAATCATCGCATACGTTTGAGAACGCATGCATGTAGGTGAATATGACGTCAGTGCACGAAGTTATGTTCAGGTCATTCACTCATTATTAAGAGACCAGTGGTTCGTTAATGATCATTTTGGCAAGAATGAAGACGGATATTGTGACATTTTAACCCCCGTAATGATTAAACTCGTCATTTTTACCGAAGAGTGCCCTTTACCTTTTAGTTGAGTGGTGTTATTAATAGCATGCAAATAAACTGACGTATGTAATTAAGTTCGAGTACTAGGTACATTGTGTAAGAAATAATCCATGCTGACGTTTTAGAAAAAAAAAAAAAAAAGATTTCTAGTTTAGCTAATTTCATAATAATTGCATTTTAATGCCCTATTCATCCCCAGTAACTTCACCGCTGGTTTGGGTCTTTGTCTCCTCAAATATCATCAATCCAGTTTCTCATTTTGTTGAATGCGATTGTTTTAATTGCGATCACACCTCATAAATGTAACTATTCACTTAGGGGAACCGTTCCAATGCCTGGGAACAGTTGATATGGAATGCTAATGCTGATGATAGCGTTCTAGGAAAATTGCGAGTTTGACCCCAAGTCCTTACACTTAATTTTGTGGATAACTTCAGACTACTAAGCCTTCATGTGGATTTCAAACACTCCTCCAATATATTGACGGGGAGATGCGATAAGAAGCGACGTGGCCACCGTCTAAGCATATAGGAAAAAAAAGAGTTGACGCAAAAACCGATTCTTTTCTCAAAGCTAATAAATCTTAGATGTAGTCTAGGCTAGAGTTTGGTAGTTAACTGAATGGGGACTTTAAGACCTTCGTCTATAAATCGTTTTATTTGCGCAGAGTACTTTATGTAAGCGGTACCATAATAACTGGACAATCAGAAAACCTTCAGGCCAATTATTACAACGAAATCGTAGAATGTATGTGTTTTTCTTAAATTCTTAATTTACATGGAGAGAGAGAGAAAGGAGAGAACAGTGATTTCCAGTATTGGTGGTATCGACAAAACCTTTTAATAAAAGAATACCACTGATAATATCTACCATACAATACACCAGTTTTAAAGTAAAGTGAAGAAATATTAACGTTATTCTATCAAATTTATTAAAAGAATCGTACCAAAGCACTCATATTTAATTTCACGTCCTTCTTCATACAATTCATAGAGAGGAGATGGCTTATATACCAGCTGTGTTAGCTGTCTACCGGACTCACATTTTTAGCCCATCAATGTGTCTTCCTTGCCCTCTGGCAAGCTCCACCGCATGATTTGTATACGTTTTTCTTCAGCAAATGACTTTCCCAATTGGCGTAATTTCCTCCGAGAGACGCCATTGTCGCATGATATGATTTACGTGCATTTTGTTTCTCTTGGCAATTTTGCTGCTAGAAACGTTAAACAGATTTATACTACAGAAACATACACATATACATACGCACACACACTAAAACACTAACACACACACACACATACACACACACACACACAAAGGGAGTAAGAGAGAGAGAGAGTAGTAGTATTCTGAAACATTAAGTCTAAGTAGCAAAGTAGAGCCACGTGAGGTTATGCACTTTTTACATGGTATGTTACATGTTCAGGAATTTTCAGACCCCGTCAACCTCCTGATTTCAGCCCTTTGATTATCAGCCCTTCACACTCACAATACCAAAAATATTTGTAGCTCAACCACGGGAGACTTCATTTTTGCTAGTTCCATGAGTTATGTCTGTTCTGTCAGTGCAAAATTTCTTAATTAATGGACAGTCGTACAACAAAAGACTTGGTTGGTGATTTTTGTTTGCATTTATTAAACTTCACCATGAGTAGATCCGCAATAATTCCCAGTGAAATATATTTGATCTTTAACGTATTATTTGTCTTACTTGGTTCTTAGTTTGGAAATATCTAAAATAATTTAAACATCATTTTAATGAAGTTGGAGGGTGGAGTCGGAAACAATTCACAGATTTAGCTTAAGGCCTTCTCCCTCCAGCCAAATGAAATTATATAAGAAAATAAACTTATGTAAAAACCATTGCCCGTAAGATATTTCAGATATTTTCCATCACGCTAGTGTCCTAGTGTTATGAAACGGTATGCGACCGTTCTCGCAAGAATTAAGTCCTTCCGTTTTAGATTCGAGTTCTCTCGGTGCATTTAACCTATTTGTCACTGGCAATCAACCGCAAGTTTTCAAAGCAATTAAATTTGTTTATTGCACAAATGCCATGTGTTTTGATGAAATATAGGGAATAACTGATGTTGTTCGCTAGTTCTAAAAATGTAAATCTTGTTTGGCTTACCCTCCTGGAATAGAAACAAAAGGAATGTTGCAAACGATTAACTTGGTGTTATACAAACAAATAAGGACATTAAGAAATTACAAAAGAAAAAAAAAAATCAAAGAAAGAAAGAAAGAAAGATGAAAAACAAACGAAAAAGTTTTGATCTATTAAAGAAATAACAAACAATATACATAAATTTTTTTGACAGGAACATTTATATTATATATTAAAAATCATACAAAGTGCCATATTGTGTCACCCAGATGGCTCATTTTTCAAATGGCAATGACATTAGTAAATGTACATGGCAGCATCTGGGTTACATCATTCTAAAAATAAAGTCAGTACTTATAGATCTATATATAACAGTTAAGACTTCTAAACTTTCCATAACTGGCATTAGGATTTAGAAGCCAAATACAGATATAACTGCAAAACCTGGGTTCAGGAATGAATTCTTTTGTCAGTTGATTATCTTTGTAATTTGATAAGTGCTACCTAAGAATATTGTGACATGTCTCGTTAAAGTCCTGAGGAATTCACTGTTAGTGATATACGTGTAAGTTACGTACGCTATGAAAAGTACAAATAAATAAAGTGAAGACGTTTACATGAGTAAAGGAAACCGCAAAAATGAATCCAATTGCGTTTGCTTCCTTGAACAATAAGCAAACATTTGTAAAAATAATGCGTGGGATACAGCCTGTAATGTATCATGTTTTCACAAAACGAATGTGCAAATAAATACTTATGTAAACAATAGAGAGGTATGCAAAATTACAACGCTAAAACATTTCTCTTGAAAGTGCCGTGGTAACACTACAATTTAAGGATAGTAACTTTCTCTAAACTGTATAGCAGAACGTACAAGGGAAGGTTTCTTACTTTGTTGCCAAGGATAATGTCAGCAACACTGTTGGGTATTTAGATTAATGGTCAAGCACGTCTTCTTTACCATCTGCCACATTGGCACAAGGTGAAAAATAAGGTGAGTTTACAGTCGAACGCTAAAAATGAAACAGTAAAGATGCGTACTTATGAGTGCGTGGGGTAATTATTCTTACACGCCGGTGTAAAAGTAAGAACTCATGCTGCCAACTCTATGATGAAGTCAAGAACGTGGCAAACATAAATTCTAGAGGTAAAGATACTTTACTCAGGTGATAGTGAAAGAAAGGTCGAACATATAAGGCCCCATTTACGCGTGCTCGCGCGCGTCTGCGTGTGCAGAAGCTCAACTTCTGTCCAATAGCAAGTATTGGGTACGTATGCATAAAATCCTTCAGCAAAAATGCAAACTAGTTTACAAAGGTACATAAAACCATACCCGTATAAATGTGTCACCATGCACAGGAATGGATAAAAATCACCATTCCAGCTGTACAGCTTGGTAAACATTATGACAATAAACATGTACAAATTTACAATACATGAGGACATTTGCAAAAATATATACAATATATTACTTCTTATTCAAAAGTTTTTCATTTTTGTCCAGACATTTGCAGAAGGCATCTGGGCAATAACTGGGTATATTAGAACAATTGATTTGGCACCAATAGTCTGCAAGAGGTGATTTAAACGTGGGTAAACCAACGGCTTTGTAGCAATCCGGTTCTGCTGGAGTTGTTGGGGCCGGTGTAGTGGTAGTGGTATAATACCCCGGGAACACCTTCTCGCGACACACGCACCATTGGTTGTGCTCACGGCACCCATACCGGCTCCAGCAGTGGTTCTTGCAGTACTGCACAGAGTGGGCCGTGCCTCGCTGGTAAAGGAACGGTTCTGTTGGCCACGGATGACATGTGTCGTAGAGTTCATCTTTCAGACGCTCGGACACGGAGGCGCACATGCAATACCGGGTGTCACAAGAGTCAACGGTACACTGGTCGCGGCAGAAGAGCCAGGAGCCCGCGGTGTCTCGCTGACCCAGTCGCGGGATGCCCACACAGCCAGACTTGCTGTTCGGGTCGCTCATTTGGCTCTGAAACTGGCTCCATTGTTTCGAATCGGTGATGGCAACGTCGGCGCAGTTGATGAAAGTTTCCTGTTTGCCACATCCGCTGCATCCCTCACCAGTTTCGAAGTCGTAGTCCCAGTTGTTGCCTGTAATATTATTAAGTAAAAAAATATAACGGCAAAATTCAACACAATTCTACGAACTTATCAAAAGGAAGACCTATGAATGATTTGTTTCAGTCAGGCATGTGGTCACACCCATGCATTTTTCTGCGTCACATTGAATGTTTTCATTTTATAGGCATGTTTGGCATATCATCACACTCGAGTTCTCATTGTCACGCTCAAAACATTTTTCATCCTGTTCTAACTTCCAAATAAGTTTTATCGGCACAAACTCCGTGGGACTACTAGGGTTTGCTACCTATGGAGTGCTTAAGCCTGTTTAACAAAATAAGTGTAGCCCGAAAATTGGCCAAATGTTTAAACCACAATTTCAGTCTATTTGACAAGATGAATGAGTGTAGTTCAATGAAATGGGATATAGTGCTTGTTTTATTAGACCATATCTAATGTTTTAGACCAACACTTTTATTTACCAGGATTAGCACGAAATTTTTTGACTAAATCTTCAGACCAATGTTAAGTTCATTTGTGAATCATCAATCAGTTGCGGCAGTTCGTACCGGGAAAGATTGCCAAATCTTGAAGAAAACACGACTTTTGACTAAAGCGAAGCTGACTGGCAAACGAAGCACCAGCTACCAAAGGCCAGCTAGTAAACTTGTGCAAAACTTCTCGCTGGACAGTACAGAAAAGTTCATTACAGAATAGGCCAAAGAAATTTCCGTGCATATCTAGTGGAAAATCAATCTGTGGACTTGGTGGATGGAGTCACGAGGTGCATGCACTGCCAAACCACAACACGGCATTGAAAATGTTCTATTAACGCCATCCAATTAGCGATTAATTCTAACAGACGAAGTTATCATGCGATGATGGCAATAAAGGATTATCTTATAGCCTAGCACGTCTTATGATCGTTCAAACATAGATATGATAAAACATCCCTTTATAACATATTCACTGAGGTACACTGAGGTTAAAGCACAATAAACACGCCCTTGCGCTTCATCAAGGGATGACCAAATCTCTTACGTGCCCAAAAAACATATACTATTAATCAGAGAGGCATAAGCATGCCCTTGGCAAAATGTCAAGTTTGCAGCAATATTGCAGCAATACTGCTGCAAACTAAAAGTTTGCGGCAACGATTTTATATAAGTTTACATGGAACATTTTATTGCTGCTAATTTGCTGTAATATTGCGGCAAATTTGCCGCAAATTTGCAAGAAGGAACAGCAGTTTCCAACAAATTTGCTGCAAATATGCAGCAGGTCTGATATCTTGCTAAGGTAGGCAACAGTTACAGGATCTGACTTATGCCATGGCAGATATCGAGAGCAAAATGTCATAAGTGTCATTCATGACGTACGCCTATAAATTCCATATACTTTCTATTAGAAATCTTCCAGCTGTTACGAAATTATATTGGAGTCTTTCATATATCCTCCAGAAGATCTGTTGTAAGGAGCACAAGATACACCTTATCTTATTCTTTTGTTCTGTACATTCGCCGTGGTTTAAGTGGCATCCACTTGTATTTTTCACTCTTGTTGAGGCATGGAGCTACTCGGCGAATACCGAAAACAAAAGACTCGGGTAAGGGATAACCCGCGTTGATTTTTAACGCCCCCGTGCGTGCGTTTGAGGTATTAATAATTGCATGTACTGTGACTCTACTTACGTCCTCTATGAACACGTACTGTTGTTTCCTCAGCATGGATGATTTGGTAAAACTTATCTTCCATAGGCTCTACGCATGCAGTATTTGCCAAAACAATAAACACCCAAGCAAAATCTACTTAACATTAGAAACTATCATTTCAAATTGCGTGATTACGTCGGAGGCGTGTCACTTGCGTTGAGAAGTGCGACGATCACATCTGGCGAAAATAAGTTTGCATTCATGAAGGAAATGATGCAGGGTTTCTCAACATGTTACAGGCCCACTCACAAATAAACCCCCACGATTTGAAAGAAAAACGGTCACGTTTAATAAAGTACTAAATATTATTATTATAAGTAGTAGTATTTTGCTACTTATGGAAGGTACACTTTAAAACACTACAAATTGTTATAATTCTAAAAATGACAACGAGAACATTTGAGCTGACGGGTACATTCTAAAATACATTTCCAAAACCCGAGTTAAAATTGAAATGTAGTAGATACCTACATTTTGTAAAATCGTAAAACTAAACAAAAGTTGACAGTGCTCAGTGAATAAAAGTGTATGAGGATGTTGCAGTTTTGGCACTTTCAATTTCTGAGCATTTCGTTGTTTATAAAATTGTTTGCTTTGTTTTGGTAAAAGATGTGGTCAAGATTTTGTTATCTAAAATGTACTATGTATTATCCATAATATCAGGCCTAAATTTGAAGTAGGAAAATACAAAGAAAAGTTTAAAGCAGTGACAGCTCAGATTTTAGCCCTACTGTTAAACAGCAATTACTTATGCAAGTACACTAAATGTCTTGTTATAATAAGGCGCCTGTCTGACAACAAGGGGCACAGGATTTTGTGGCAAGACCCGGAATACAAATGTAACTACTCTGCTATATATATATAGACCCACCTGCCGTATATTTCCATTGCAGAACGCATTGTTTCTCGCACACCACGTCCTCTGGGAGTTTCAGAAGGACAGTGAAGTTATGGCTCCATGGCGTATACATGGGTATGTGCCAGCGAGTGCCTGTGCCGTCGGCTAAGGACAGGGGGTGCCTGAAACAGCCAAACTACGTGAATTATGATATCGGATTTACCTATCTTTACAACCCTATATATTTACAGTTTATCGGAAGTGAAGGGATAACAGTGTAAAGGCGTCTGGTGTGGAAGTACACTGTAGTATTGCAAGGACCCCCTACGTCTGTGCTGTACCAAAAAGTATTAAAAAGTGAAAATTTAGGGTTAAGACAATGAAATAGTATAACTAGGAAAAAATGCTGGTATACGCTAAGTGACCTTATAACGAAGTTGGATGATCTATCCATTATTAATCGTAGGGTACAATTCCGTGTTGTTTATTTTCAAACGCCGCTTCAAGCTACTCGCTAGCAGATATTCTACAATTAAAAATTAAATACAACCACCTAGCGCCAAATGTCTTATGTATTTCTGTGTAATCTTTTTCAGATGTAAAAGTCTTAAAATACAGAATGTGTTACGAGTATACAGGTAGTTAATGGTACAGGCATTTGTCAAAAAAATATAAAAAAGGGTTTGAAATGTTTAAAAATAGACATCATATCTTTAGTGCAAGGAGCAGGAAGATCAGCTTGTAATCATAACATCGAACATCGAATATTTTTACCTGTCTAGACACTCCTGAGTCACGCGGCGGTTGAAATTGTCGTTGGGACAGATGCGGAACTCAAAGTGACCCTTGTGGTTGGTGGTCAGCCTGATGTGGACCTTGATTACGTCACCGCGTTGGTAACGTCTGGCGGCAATTTTTGGGACGTAAATCCCATAGGGTGGCTGATTCAAGTAGGGTCCGCCGTACGCGTCCCCGCAGGCGCCGCATTTGCCTCCGTTGGTGTCCCACTGCATCTGTAACATGGGAATACTTGTGACTTACATATTTAGTCTCGGTTGTGGTTTTGTCAGAAGATAATTAGCAAGTTCTTAGTTGACAAAATTGAATATCAGAAATTATTTTCATACGTTATTGAGCACTAAAATAATGAAATCAAGAAATAATTCTATACCTTAAGTCAATGGAGGGGAGCTTTTCGGCTCGCATGTTACGCGTAACATTACATTTTCACGCTATTACATTTTTCACAGTCATTTCAGCTTGGTTGACGTGCCGTTGCTAATTGTGAATAATTGTGACACATGTACGTGTACTTTTTTCGATGCAGAGCTGGTTTGTTATTATTTCACTTTCCACTGGGATTAACCCGACAAAGGACACGGTCTTTTCACCCCCCCCCCCCCC